CAAACTTTTGACTCCCATCTTCCAACAAAGATTCTAGCCGAGTCTGTATCATTTAAAATCATCACTCAAACAAATTTGAAACTTAGAAATGGTAAAATAATCATACCACCGGAATGTTAGGAAGAAGCTTTACAGAAAAATCAACAAAGAATAGATTTATTATTGATAGATTTATTTACAAAATCCAATTGTATCTTTTATCAGTGTTTTATTTTCCTCTAATCCTTTAAAATGGACTAAATATTGTTGTAAGATAATCAATGTATGATTATCTAAGAGATTATTAAAAATATTAAGGGTGGCCACTTTTTTGCCTCACAGTCTAATAACATCAAGAAAATATTTCATAAAAAAATCGATTTTTATCATCGAATCATCCTTGTAAGATTCTTTCAAAGTTTTTGAAAAATCCACTTTTTTTTCAAAAACCTTTAATGTTTAAAAAAATTTGCATTAGATAAGATTGTAGTGATTGCCCGGCCAATCTTGTGGGTGAATACGGCAATTTTTGCCGCGTCACCAATTGCCCCTTCGTGTTGTGATTGGTCAAGAACAGATTTCGATCAGTTTGTTTTACTGACCCGAAAGGTTTTCGTAATTGATAATCGCAAACCTCTTAATCATAAATCATCTCAACCTTCAATCTTTAATTTAGAAAATATGTTCGTTCAAAAATGAACTATTTAACAAATATGCGTGATTTGATATTTGTGTGGTGATTAATGACCGTTAATCGATAATTATTCAGAAATCGTGAGATGCGGTCTGGTGTGATGTAGGTTTCAGAAAAACATTTTCGTTATCGTGCCAACGTTTCGATCTTTATTGAGATCATCTTCAGGGCTCAAAGTGTTTGTTTTCTGTGTAATTGTGCCATTCTTGCGTGTCGTGTTGACAGTGCCCACTTTTTGATTTTCGTGTTTGATATTTGTATTCGACTGTAACACCGTAATAATCATTAGACTTTCTCTAATAAAATAAAATACTACTACCAGTTAGGTAAATGTTAAAAAACAGTGTCGTATTTTTAATCATAATCCTATTTTTGTAATATGGTTAATAATAACTACAAGATAACGACTTCCTACTATTTTTCATGTCAATTGTATTATTGCATTTTAACCTTTTTGCAAAAATAAATACATTTCTATTTTCTTCTTTAGTTAAAAAAGTTTTTTTTTCTCTAGTTAAAAAATTAAGAAATAATTTTGAAGTAAAGACGTCGTCTGGCTTGGTAGTGGTGATGAGCGCAGCAATTTTTGCAAGCTCGCCAATAAAATTGAAGCTTTCTAGCTGGGCTTTTTCATTTTTGTACAAACTTTGTTTGTGATAGTAGTTTTGGTTTTTACACATTTCTGTGTAAACTGGTAGAGTGATAATCGGAAAGAGCGATAGTTCGCGAATATGGTAGGTGAATTTATACGACTCAATTTGTAATAGAATAATAAACATGGTTTTTAGGTTTGTTTTCTTTTGTTTAAGAGGCATTAAGATTTTTTTAACATAATAATTTATCTAAACGGAAATCAGTTGTGTTTACAAAAAGAATTCAAGAAGAATTGTTGCCTTAATTTTCGAAAGGTGTGAATTTGATATTTGAGGTTTTGTCTGAGAAGATGGTGGTTTATAATCAATTTTTATATTTAATGAACAGCATTAATTTTTTTTATGAACCTACATATATAATAAAACTGAGATTACCAGGATGATTGACTATGCAGACTTATTTGATAAAATTGCAGGTTTTTTGTCTTTTCTAGCACGTTTCATTGCAGTACTTTGTTATGTTCCAAATAGCCACTTTTGCAATAATGCATTAAAATTTAAATTTGACGGTTCGAAAACTAGGACCGGGTCAACCCGTCTCGTTGGAAACCCAGTTTTTCTCCTTCCGTCCTGTCACTTCCTGCCTTTGCTTTCTACCCGATTCGTCTGACGTTCCCAAGGAAGAGAATGGGAAAGCTGTCTCTCGAAACGTGCCAGATTTGCCCTAAAAAATGTATTTTCCCCATCGAGTCCAATCTGTAATCATCGCGCTTGCTTTAAACTAAAGCCTGACCTGTACTTTTGACGTTTGCGATCGATCATTTTGTACTGACCATTCGTCGTTTTAGATGTGTCAAGCACGTTTCAGCTTCTTCTTCGGTGCCGGGTCTGTGTGATTTATTATTTTAGAAAACAGACTTTGATGGCTCACCCACGAACACTTACTTTTGGTCGTAAGCACAAAGATAATATCGTTTGACATGCCCCTCGTAGTAAAAGTGTGTTACTTCACTCCATATAGAGAGGGATAGCAATTGCTCTTAAGCACAGCAGTGAGTTTATGCATTTTTTACGAAGGAAATAGAAGGCTTTTATTGCAAAAAAAGTGTTTATTTCTCTGTTTTTGTGTTAGAATGTTTCATTGACTAGATATAATTATTCAGAAATCGTGAGATGCGGTCTGGTGTCATGTAGGTTTCAGAAAAACATTTTCTTTATCGTGCCAACGTTTCGATCTTTATTGAGAACATCTTCAGGGCCTGGGATTTACAAATACTTTGAAAGAGAATTACTTTGGTTGAATAAAAAATATATTTTTTTGCATTGTACAAATTCACTTTTTTCCACATCCTTCATGTATTTGTTAAATTTAAACAATGTTTGTAAATCCCAGGCCCTGAAGATGATCTCAATAAAGATCGAAACGTTGGCACGATAAAGAAAATGTTTTTCTGAAACCAACATCACACCAGACCGCATCTCACGATTTTTTTAATAATTATCGACAAACGGTCACTAATCACCACACATGAATAAATATTTATTTATTTACGGATCGAAATCCACTATAAAAAAGACATTTTACAATAACAAAAAATATAAATAATGTATGTAAAAATACAAATAATATGTATAAAAAGAATAAGGACGTATATACATGATAATAATATAAATGATAAATATAAAAACACAATTAAAGAGTAAAAACTGAACAACAAAAATGAAAGACATAATTACTAACCAAATAAGGCAGAGGAAACGAAATAAAGCTGAAAGACAATTGAAACTACAATAATTAGGTACATATTTAATGAAAATAATGCTCTTTGTAAATATATAATAAGACTAGAGTGTGAGAATTAGTTGAACCAGTAAATGAAATTGTAATAATTTTGTACAGCATGAAATATAAAAGCATTCAACTAAGGTTGTAGGATAAGGTTTTTCACAGATTGCACAGAACTATTGAAGAAGTCAATGCTATTGCAGATAGCATGTAGTTAGAGCTTTGGAATTCAATATAAAATAATTTATAGGTTTTAAGAGAGTACGAAGGGACATGTAGCTGTAGTAGAGGTAGGAGATAAGGACTATCAATGAGATTGTTTAATAATTTAAATACAAAAACAATATCAAAGTAATCCCTTCTTAGTGCCAGTTCGAAAAGTTTAAATTCAGAGCGGATTCCAGGGAGGAAAGGTTTAAATTCAGAATTCGGAGGAAGATTGAATTTGTAGGAAAGTTTTTTTTTAAATTTGTTTTGTACAGATTGAAGAATTTTTTGATAATTTAGATAGAATGGGTTCCAAACAGGTGTAGCATATTCTAGTATGGGTTGTACAAAAGCTTTTTAAAGATGGACAAAACATAGAGGATTTTTAAATTCATAGGTGTTCTAGATGATGAAACCTAGCATCTTCATAGATCTATTTTTTATTGAAGAAATATGTTCTTTAAACTTGAGCTTTTGATCAAAAAGTACACCAAGATCCTTTACGGCCTCAACTCGCGTTAAAAGAGCATCGTGGAGAGTATAGAGATAAATAAAAGGTTGTTTCTTATGAGAGAATGTAATTGTGTAGCATTTGGAAACATTAAGAGCAAATTTGTTATTGGAGCACCAGGTTAGCACGTTATTGATAGAATTTTGTAATTGTAAGCAATCAGAAGAAGAAGTGATTATGGAATAGATTTTCAGATCATCAGCAAATAATAAAAATTGAGCAGAAGGGAGAGCAAGATGGATATCATTAATAAATAAGGGAAACAAAACTGGTCCAAGATGAGACCCTCGCGGGACTCCCGAGGAAGCTGCAAAGGGACATGATTTAAATGATTTTATTTTGACTATTTGTTTTCTGTAGGAGAGAAAGCTGGATAACCAATTCAAGATAGTTCCAGTGAAATCATAATCCATTAGTTTCCTTAACAGTATTGTGTGATTTACTTTATCGAAATCTTTAGAAAAATCAGTATACACTGAGTCTACTTGGTGTCCAGAGTTTATTGCATCTAAGATGTAATTTTGAAATGTGAGCAGGTTAGTAACAGTTGGTCTATTAGAGCAGAAACCATGTTGCTGAGGTATAATAAAAGATTTAATGTCGTTTTTAAGTTTATTACAAATAATAGAATCAAATATCTTGGAGAACATGGATTGAATAGATATTGGTCTGTAATTGAAAACATTAGATCTATCGTCAGCTTTATGTAGAGGAATGACAAAAGTGCTTTTCCAAGCTTTGGGGAAAATACCTGTTTTTAACGACTGATTCAGAATATAGTGTAAAGGAGCAATAAGAGCCGCAGAACACTTTTTAACTAATATAGGGGGTATGCAATCAGGACCAGAAGACTTTTTCACTTTGAGTAATGAGATAGAATTTAGTATTTCATAATAAATATATTTATGAGGACGAATGTTATGAGAGGGTCAATGGTATAATAACAAACCATTATTAAAAATCTGTTGTATATTTTGTATATATGGTGGGGTATTCTATTGCCCTATTAGTATAATAATATTAATATATTGGAGAAAATGAGAAAATTGAGAACGTATGAGAAAATGAGTGATGCATGTTTGGAGGCTGTTATTTTATTATCAATAGCTGCAATTAATATTTGGTACCAAAGTTTAACCCTCAACTGCAAACAACACTATAGAGATATCTAATTTCAGAAATGCATACAGTGTCAAATACAAATATGAATAAACTTTTAACAGTTTCCATTTTTTAATTTTTACAGGTCAGCACCTTGTTTTGATCTCAGATCCAGAGAAAGGTGAATCTGTTTTTGCATTTGACAACCCAGGCTTTAAAGGTTAGTAAACTTGATTCCTATCTAAATTGTCATTTAAATTTGAATTCTCATGTTAATTTATTTACTTTTTGTTTTCAATTTTAGAGGGTCCGTCGATTGTACCGAATGAAAAAGAAAGCAATAATAAGGTAGTTGAATTTGTACATTCTAAATAAAACTGAAGGTAATGGATTTCTTTTTGGATATTTTTAGTTGAAATGGCCTCACTGGAATTCAATGGGTTTGCTGCGTTCAAGCAGCGACAAAGTCAAAGCTATGGATGATTCATATACAGCTGTAATTATCGCTATTTAATAATTAATATAATTTTGAATAAGAATGAATAACTGAATATTTTTCAGCAACCTCCTTTGACAATTGTCCCATTGAGAAGCCACGATTTCACTGGATTAGGTTTCAACATCTGTGGAAATATGAGAGATGGTATTTACATCAAAGATGTATTGCACAGAGGACCAGCTTCTGAAAGTGGACGCATTACTTCTGGTAGAAAATTTATTATTTAGGGCCTCATAATAATAAAAATAAAAAATATGATGCTTGTTCTAGGTGATAGGATTGACAGTATTAAAATCAACTTGAGACATGTCGTTTTTGAAGATGCCCTTACTATTTTGAGTTATGCTTCGCCTTATGAAGTTGAACTGGCAATTGAAAGAAGTGGTCAGAATACTTCAACTCTCCTTAGGACTCCACCACCACCTCATAAAATTTGCCACCCATTTTACAGGAGCCATTCTATTTCAGATCTTCAACAGGTACAATTTTGAATTTTGAATTTTGTTCGGAATAGATTGACTTTTGTTTTTTATTTCAACAGATTGGAAAAGTAAACAGGAAACAAGGGGATCAACCATCAAGTTTGTTATCTGATGTGAGCTTAAGTGATTCTGGAAAACCCACAACTCTTGATAGAAAAAGCAGGTCAATTGAACATGAAAAAACCCAAAATTCAAGAAACTGTATGCTGGAAACTGTCCAGAAACATGAAAGTATTTTCCATGAGATTGATTTGGAAGTAGTCGAACCTGAAAAGTCAAAGGATTCTTCGCCGAGTAACGTTAAATCTTATCTTGTAAAAGGAATACAAAACCTAAAAGAGAAGTTACACAATTCATTGCATATGGAAGATCCTCATAAGGAAGAAGTAAAAGAGGTGAAAGATGTCAAGGAAATTAAGGAGATCAAAGATACCAAGGATGCCAAGGAGACAAAGGAATTTAGCACAGTGCCAACTTCGGGAAAAATTATTGTAGGTGATGGATTTGTAACTGCAGATTTAATTGTCCCTGAAGTTGTAGAGAAAGCTGGGACTGCTGCCAAAGAGAGCAGGAAATCTTCCATTGTTACTGATGCTCATGATGAAGTTGACAATAAATATTCTCTGGACATAGAGGATCCAATAGCTGCAAAAAGAAATAAAAGAAAAGCTCCAATGCCCCCTCAAGATGCTGAAGATGAACATGAAAGTTTGCATTCTGTGCATTCAGAAAGTGATTCTGAAGCAGGAGACACATGTGGTACTATTGAACTTAACTCTACACATATTACAGTACACCAGGTACCTCAAGATAATGAAAGCCGTAAAGCTTCATCCTTGGGAGATTTGTCACGCTATGAAGCAGACAGCGTTGTACTTTTAGAAAGAGCTGTGTCCCTTGATCTAGGAGACGGAGCACCAGGTTGTAAGAAAAGAAAGGCACCTCTACCTCCTCAAGATGATTGCGTGTCCCCGCAAAAGGAAGCTAGATTGGATAACGGCATAGCTGGGACTTTGAAAAAGTCATCGGTATGGGGAACGCTTGAAGAAATAATCCAAAATGGAAGTGAATCAGAAACAGATTTGGGCATTTCAGGCTGTTCAACACCAGAAAAGGGGGAATTAGTTTCATCTACACCGTTTAAGTATGAAAACTCAGACGGTGACATCCTGCTCACTTTGGACCAGCTCAATGATGAGGACACACCTCCAGAACTACCAACCTCTCCTGTGCCTACATATTCTTTTATTACTGAAATACAAGTACCATCAGAAAGACAACCAACCAATGATGTGGTACATTTTGATAGCACTGAGCAATTTCTTGACCACATGGCTACACTTAAGGCTCAAGAGGTCAGTCCTATTTTGACAAAACATTTTCAAAGCAGTCAAATTTCTCCTGAGAAGATAAATGAATATGAAACTTCCCCACAATTTGAACGTATAATTACGACCAACCATAAGACTGTAATGCCAGATGACAGTTCTCTGAACATACAAATGACTTTTACACAAAGCAAGCAGATAAGTAAAATCACGAACAATGATAATACTTCACAGAATGATGATTGCGATGAAACAGAAGAAATAAAACCAGATATGACTTCTTCAAAAATTGAAATGACAGGAAAAATAACTGATTCCTCATTTCCAGGCAATACAGAAAAGTTGTTAGATCATCTGGTCCAAGAAACAATATTTCAACCCCAAGAAACTTGTTCCCTCATTTCAAAGTCTCCTTTGAAAAAAGCACCTGTTAAACCACCAAAACAAAATAATAATTGTGAAAATACAGAGTATTTTCTAAAGCAAATGATAGAAGCAGAAATAAGAGAATCCTCTCCGCCAGAAAGTCCTCAAAAATCCATTGCAGAAAAAGTAAATGACAAATTGCACGATCAAATTTCTAAATTACAAGAAACAAGCTTGGCTTCTGATAAAAAACCTACGACAAGTCAAAGAGACAGTTTCAGCAAGGAAAATATGTCGGATGAACAAATTTTAGCATTGAAAGCTTCACCTTCACAAAGGGCTGAAATAGCTAAACCTACACGGTCAAATGTGACCATCACGACAATTAAGTCAACGACTCCTTCGCGAATCCCTGTGAGAGCTGGACATAAGAGCCCCAGGGCTAGCCTCTCTCCGACATCTGACAAAAGGAGCATGATCCACAGGAATGGGCATAGTTCACCCTAAGTTTCAAATTTCTTGTATTATTCATTTATGTATTTAGATTTTTGTTTCCTTAGATAAGGTGGGCCTGTTTTGAGGAAATTAAACCTTTTTAATTTTTCTTCTTTCTGTTTTTGCTTTTCTTTTTTTCAATTACAACTGATAATATGCAAAAAAACAAGTAAAACCATAACTAGGGTAAACAATTTTTCTATTTCAAAACTAGTCATTATTTAAACTTTAGACTTATATTTGTTTTCTAGAGAAACATAATAAAATCAAATGATAATTTTTCTAATGTTAAACTGATTTATCATGCAATTTTGTAATAGCTTTCTTCTTTGAAACAAATTTCTTTACAAGGATATCAAAATAATAAAATTTAATTTTTCTATAAATTTTTTGAATGATGGAATTGTCAATTTTTTTCTGGCTTGTGCATACCTACATTGTAGAACAAAAATGGTTTAGTCTTACCATCACTGTAATAATTTACATATAAGTTTGCTATTTGTTGTATTACAAACACAGGTTCACCTTATACATCATTTATTTTGTATAAAAAGTTTTGCATTTCTTTCTTTCGGTTTTTCTCAAACATTCCAACAAAAAAATCTGGCTGTCATTTAATTGTGAATAAAAACAAAAGGAGGAAAGAAAGTTGTATTAAAATATAGTGTTGAGATCAATTTATTTTATTTACTTTAGTCATTTTATCAACAAAAAAAAGTTTTTAAAAAAGTAGTTATCACTTATTTTTGTAATATGAACATATTTTTGCTTTCGATTGTAGTGCCAAAGAGAGATATCAAGATTTTATTAAATTACTAACATTTTTTTTTGTAAATTTTTTTTTAAATGAAATAGCTGTATATAAACTAACTTTTTAGAATTATAAGATAAAATGTTTATAAGATCAAATGTAATTTTATGGTGCTGTGCCAAGATGAAGTGAATATTTTTTAATATATATTAAAGTTACAAATATATATTATAATTTGCCAATGCATTTTGCAGGAAATAAAATTGATTTTTTTTTGTTTTGTTATACTACTTGTAATAAATAGAGGTTAATACCTCTAGTTGAAAGTTAGTGTTGTACATTTTAAAAAGTTATGTACTTTATTATTTAATACAGTGTAAGTAAATATGAAAATTATTTGTTTATATGGCCCATCCACATTGTCAAGATGATTCATATTCATTAAAGCATTATTAAATTAATTGAAACTATAACAAGTTAAAAAACAAACCTAATCCCGACTATCAAAAATCAAAATGATCAAAAGGATTGATCTTGATGAAAATGCTTTTATAAAATTACAAATTAATGTTTAAAATCTAAAAATTGATGTGTATTAAGTCAAGAAATGAATGAAGAAACTGAATAATTGTATGTTCAAGAACACCTAATAAACAATCGTTTATTTTCAATTCACTTTCTTGAACTGAATGCCCAGTATAAAATTAAAGTGTTAATCTAAACATGAAGTCTCCAGTGAGGGTAAATAAGTTGTATCTTGAGGTATCTTTAGGTAAATTGTTAATATAAAAGCAAATTGATTTAAAAACACTGAGAAAGATAGAGAGAATTCATGTTCATCTTGTGTTCATATGTTCCTCACGCATGATATCCATGATAATTCCTTCATGGACCTTCTTTTTCGAGAGACACCATGAACTGAAGCAGCAATTGTTGTTGTTGGGGTTCCCAGACACATAGACATGGAGGTAAATAAGAAGCGGATGAAGTGGCTATGGCCAGAACATCCCAACTTTGGGACCTGACCACCGCGATCCGGCTCTCTAATACTAAAAAAGAAAAAACATGATTAACAGGAAGTGGCAGCATTGGTGGGTGGAATCCGCACAGAAGCTCCTATGTATCAGAAGCCTGGGTGACCCTCGGAGGACCTGAATCAAAGAAGATGGACTAAAAATAGCTGTATGAGGTTGACACACAGACAACTTTTGGGCCAAAATCCAGTAACTAGAAAAAACTTGATTGTTCCTTGGCTACATACAAAGAAGGAGTAGAAATGCCACCTGATATTAGAATTGTGTATGAGCAATCTCCTTTTATTCCCTCTTTTGGTATACTCAGAGTAAGTGTATTTATTAGAGTGAATATATAGTGTGAGAGGGGTGGAATATCCACTATACATTGATACTCAGATTAGTTACAAAGTATACATAATGGGTGATGGAGGAACAAGTACTCCACCAGCCTACTTAAGTTAATGGCATAAAAATAGGGAAGAATGCATTTAAGAACAAATGTGTATGTCCCTAGGTTTAAAAAGTACATATGTTCGAGTTTGAAATGACCTAGCTTTTGACAGACCGAGGAGCCTAATTTTGGCAGCAGAATAGATAAGCCCTAGATCTGACTGGCCTTCAAAACATTGAAGTTGGCGATTCTTGCAGGTCGCCTCTACATGTATGTATATGTGGACGTATGTACAGAATTGAGCTTACATAAATCAATGTTTGTTATCGAAATATAATTTTATTTTATTTTATATTTATAATAAGACAAATCATGGCCTATGGGGTAGCTACAAGAAGAGAATCGGTTTGGCATCGTCTACGAACTGTTCCACTTGCAATTGCCCTTCAAATCCTAACCACATAATTTTTGAATGTCCAGAATACGAAAATGAAAGAGACAAACTGCTAAAAAATCTGAGCAAAGTCCCAAACATTTCCAAACCAATAAACTTAGAATCTATCCTAATAAGCAACAATCCATCAGCTTTCAACATAATCTATGGATTTCTAAAGTCGATAAACGTTTCTTTTTGATTATCTTCAACCATGAAAATTTAGAGATGAGAAGATGATGGAGCTGAATGAGAGGGTGCGGGTGCGCGGCGGGGACCTGGTCCTAGTCGGCCGATCCCGCTCGACAGTAAAATGAAAATAGAAAACTTCATGGGTAATATGCCAGCATAAACCAAAAAAAAAAAAAAAATTCTGAAAAAATTTCTGCGCTTGATTTTAATAATTTTTTATATAGTAAACTGACAGCTTTAATTTGACCAACAGCACTTATCGCACAGATATATGATGATGTAGGATAAATAAGAGTAATATAGAAAAAATTTATAATTTTTTAGTCAAAGACTTAATTGTCAAAAAGCATGTATGTACTAAATATTCAAACTTTTAAGCAATGTTCCAAGGTAATTTCTATGGGTTCTAAATAAGCAAGTTTCGACATTTTCACCTTCACATCTTTGAATTCTTTAATGCTTTTTAATATATAGTTAAGGACTAGGAGGTTATGGCCCAGGCATTTTTTATTATTATTTTGAGTTCTGTTTTTTAAAGGTGTAATTTTAATATTTCGCAATAAACATTAAGGTGGTATCATCTTGATATAAAATAATATACCCGAGCTTAGACAAGTCTGACGTGAATGTAAGTAAAAGTATTGGATCAAGAAAGCTTCCTTGTAGAACACAATTTTGCGGAGTTGGTTTGCTGTACATGCCCAAAATTCATGTGATCTGTTCTCTCCTTTTAAGGTAATTTGTGAAGAAATCAAAGTATTCATTATTTATATTTAATTTATTTTGAGTACTGATATTTTGATTTGAAATGATTTTATAAATAATAAAAAATAGAAATAATAATTGTGTTAACTAATTTTAAGAAACCAAGCAGCAATAAATTTGAAGGCTTCTGTAAAATGCAGTTTACATGTTTATTTAAAGCATTTTGCTGTCTTATTCATTCCCCATAAGCCCAGTTTTTTGATATCGTCATATGATGGGCACCTGGTTATTCTATATGACCTTCGAACCGATCTTAACGTGTCAGCTATGTACACGAAACCTTGTTCGTATGAGCACATTCTTTCTGTTAATGGCTTATGCACGTATGATAATTTCTTCAGTTTATGTGACAATGAATTGCAAGCAGCATTTGTTGGCTTTTGCAAAGGACCACCTCTCCGGATAAATTGACTTAGGAGATTTCCAATGGATGACATGTCTACATTCTATTTGAAATTAATGTTTGACAATTTTTTGTTTTTATCCTCTTTATAACAGTTTTGTACTGTCTTCAGCACTATTTCTGAAGAAACTATATACTCTTTTGATTTCTTCTTCGAATTCTAAAAAAACAAAAAGTAATGAAGTCTTGCAACTAATTCATCATCACTTAACTAACAGATTTTCTCTAATTTTCTCTTAAGATAATGGTTATTAATTTAAGAAGTAGATGACTGATTGATAAATAACATTTTTCTTTTAAGAGAAAATTACAATAGTAAAACCAGAAAAAAAACAATTCTCCTAAATAATATTGATTATATGTACTTATTATTTTACAAATTAATAAAACTAACTAATTTAGTATAAATAATACTAACAATCGATGAATTTCTTAACATAGAACATAAGAAAATTTTTAAAACATGTTTTATTCCCACTTCTTTCCAAATATGCTGAATTTTGCTTTTCCTCTAACCCTGCGGCATTTTTGGAAGTTTTTTTCCAAGTTCGTTCTCATATTCATGGCGAAATAGCATCTGGGGGTAACATGGTATGTTTTTTGGAGTGACCGTAGAGCATCTCCTAAATAAACAAATCCTTCTTGGTATGACATCAATCTCTTCTCAATGTAATTACATTTTGCAATTGTCCTTAAACATTTTGTCGAGTATTTTAAAAACGGCTCTACCATTTTTGTTTGCGATTTATTTTAGTTGTAATTCACACCATGGAATGTTTTTTGATTTTGTTTTTTTACTCCGGAAGGCAATTAAATTTTCCCTTAAGTATTCAGAAAAAATGATGTGCCAGTTTCTCTTCTCCCACTTTCCAGAACTAGAACAACAATTTAAATAATTTAATTCTTCGTTTTTCTTGATTGGTTTACTTTGTTTTAATGTATAAAATGATAAAAATGTTCTGAATTGAACAACTTAAAAAGTCATTAGCTTGGTAACATCATAAATTATCCTAAAATCCTTTGAACAGTCAGGAATTATTGTGACAATAAAATTATTTTAACCAATTTTAAATCTGTACACTTTCTTTGTTATTGTTTAAATTTAAGAACTATAAATAAAAAAGGCACTGTTACAAAACAACCCTGAGAAATTAAATTACTTGTTCTACAAGGAGTGCATAGTTGTTTAGGCCATGTAAAAATTATGCTTAAGTAAAAATAAACTTAAAAAAATATTTATTCAATACCTATTACTTTCTTGTCTCAAAAGAAGTCATTAAAACTTACTTTGAATATCTACAATACATTTTAAGGACCACAGTGGCCGAGTTATTAGGGCATCAGACTCGTATTTGCCATGGGAACGAATGTTCTGGGTTCGTATCCTGGCATAGTCTATGTAGTTTTAATTGAGAAAGTATGAAAAAAATAAATAATGTAAAGTAATTTGGCCACTTGTCCAGGACTCCTAACGGGTGGTTGGGTGTAAGCCCCCTTGACAGGAATTACTTTACTTTTAAAAACATTTCTTAGGGGTGTTGGTCCCCGCAATGGTTAAGGCGTTGACATGGTGATCAACACTGTAAGGTAAAGGTCCCAGTTTTGAATCTAGCACCTATGAAGAGGCTTTTTTCAAAAACACCAGAACACCAAGATTGTAATTGAGATTCTCAATTGATACTGTGTAATATTTTTTGACTTATTTATATATAAAAATATTTATATATTTTTTTAAATGGGGGTTTGCAACAGTAGAGGTACGAGAAACCCCTGGGATACCTTTAAAGAAGCCTTTCTGAGTATGCAGGGTTCAAATTTTATCATACAGTGCCTCCTAATATGATGTTATTGAGGTAAATAAGTAATATAAGTGGTAAATATTATACTTTCCAAATAAGCCAAAATTTTAACAAAAATCTGTTCATATTTCTCTCTTCTTCTCATCTATCCTTTTGAACAGTTTCCCAAAAACCAAAAAATTAACCATTTTCAGTAATATTTTCATAGGCTTTTGCCTTCCAAAGTATCATCGGTTTTATATTTGTTTAGGGTTTTGTGTAAATAAATTAAATTAAAAAGTAATTGCAAAAGCTTTTCATAAATTTTTTTTAAAATTCCGATTTTAAATGTTGTTTTCATGTTAAAGTAGTTTCCAATTTCATTGAACTCTAAATTTACCTGTTTGTAAATCAAACTGAGAAAAATATATGCATAAAAGATTTTTTAAATATATTATAAATCCATTTTTTATCTTATTACTTTATTATATTCGATAGACGAAGATGACCAAAAACAATTTTTGTGAAAATTTACTTTATTTATATATATTTCGGGGTGCTATTCGCTTCCCATCTTCAGATGTTTTAAACTTAAATAGTTTCCAGTTTCATGGATACTAGAGCACTTTGTCTATGGAATATAATTATAGAAAAACAGACTGATTATAAATCATTTCTTTAAAAGATGCCATTAAGTTTATTTCAACTTCCAATTTCTTAAATGCACTTGTCTTAATGGTTTTAACTAGAAATAAACATTCCTTAAATATTTTGCTGTTATAAATGCCTTAAGAATATATGAATGTTCATAGAGTACTTGAAAAATTATACTGTGAGCTTTTTCCTATCACCATTATAGTAAATGTGATAATTATTTATTCCCTGTGCTATTTTTATAAATAAATTATATTCATATTACTTTATTACTACAAGTTTCAATGAAAATTGTAAGCAATAATTGAAAAAGCACTGTTTTTGGGCACCAAGATTCAGAATATGATTTGTTGTTGTTTTGCCTTATTTTATTTAAAATTTCATAATTTCAAAACACAAACAAAACTTTTTTATCTCAACCAAAACCTTAATTAATTGAAAAGAATTTATTTGGTCAAGCAGACCACGAAACCTAATAAAACAACCAAATAAATTGAACTTGTATGAAAATTATATGACTTATAAACAATAAATAATGATGCTAAATAAACTTTTAGTACAAGTATATTGTGTGAATAAAAATAATACGTTGGTTTATAAAAGCCAAACAAATCAATTCTTCTTATTATTATTATTAGTGTTATTATTATTATTATTATTATTTGGACGTTTGTGTGGTTTTGGTTTTAGTTTAATCCCTGCGAGAATTGAATCTTCATATTTCGATGTGTATGCTACTAAATCAATGTCAGAACCCTCAGTTTTTGGGATACGACGTTCTTTCTTGCCCGTTATCCTTTGTAATGATGATTCGCGTCTTGGTTCTTCCGGGATCAGGATTTCAGCTGATATGGCCTTCACTTGAGAACGTCTGGCTTTTCTTCTTTCTTCAGCTAACATGGAAGAGACATAAGTGAATTCCTCACTCGGTTCAATATTACAAGATTTTCTGAATTTGGACTGTCTTGCCGATCTCATATTCTGTGTCATCTCGAATCCGGACTTAGACTGCCCGCCTGAATTTCACAAAAAAAGTTTCATTTATTGCTTTATAATTAAAATTTATTTAAACATCCATTTGGGAGACCAATTGAAAATAATTGTACGATTGAAAATTTTTCCATTCATAATTGAAATAAAGAACCATAAATAAATTGTAATTAAATGCAAATAAATAAGGGGTAATTATCTAATAATAATAATTCAAAAGCATTAATTTCAATTGTTTATGGTAGAAGTCAGTTTAATAATGAAAGCAACATAACATGTTTTTGTATATTAAAGCTTAATACTTGATTATATAATTTTACTGTCACTCACTAATTATTTTAGTTTTCAATTTTAATTGAACCAATTATTGCGTCTTTAAGGTATATTACAAGTATTCCCAAGGATTAATTCTTCCTGACGTACACCGTAAATTGACTTTGCAATTGTTCCTTTGTAAGCGCTCACAAAATAAGTGTTCTGTACAGTTTTTAATTGTATGAATCGCTCGTCAATTGGTTTCCGTATTTTTGGAGGTTCCGGTCTTTCTTGTATTTCTGGTTCTTTGTCAATAAGTGTGTCTTGTTCAATCTTCTTTTCATTGTCCAGTACAGTTTTATCAGGTGTTGCATTTTCAAATTTCACAATTTTCTCAGTTAACCTTTTTTTATCTAAAAAAACAGGATAAGAAAGCAAACCTAAAATAACCATAATTATAAAATGATATTTTGGAGCTTATGAGAATGTGTTGATATAAGTTAGTAATTTCAAGTATTAATGGCTGAAATTATACTTTGTTGAAGAATCTTAAAGTTAATTATATTTTAAACATACAGTTAATTTTTGATTAGCCTAAAACATTATGATTAATCTGCTCGAAAGAAATGAATTGGGCAAAAAATGCTGCTCTCAATCTACCAATTATATCAACGAAAAAAAATTTTATTCAGAAAAACTACACGGTCACGTTGACGTGTCAATTACTAGAGTTTATTGGATATGAATTAATGCTACAATTGATCATTTTTATAGCATTTTATCAGCAAAGATCTGTGATGACATACAAAGAATTATATTATTATTATTATTATTATAACATTATACATATTTTCTATAATAATATGACATTTTGAACAAAAGACCAAGTTTTAAGTTATTTTTAAAGTAATTGTGATACTCATAGATATAAGTTTCCCACAGCTAATATTATTTTTATACTAAATTTTCAATTGGTTATTTCATAGTTTTCCACATTTATCTAAAACTGCTTGAAATTGATTTAGAGGGTAACCAATTAAAATATTAATTTTGTTTTTGCTGTTTTATAATAGAAGTTAAGATGAAAAGAACACAGAAGTCAAATTAATATAGCTAGAATATGTTTGTTCTTTCTAGAGCATATGTATGTTAAAACAAATATAGAAAGAGCCAATTAATTTTATCTTAGTTAATAACTGACAATCTTTAACCAATTAACTCAAGTAGTGAAGAAATTTGAATTGAACTCTTGTTACGACTAACTTGATTATTGTGATATTATTCAAATAAATACTGAAAAATGTTAAATCAAAGTATTTTTGTTTATTTGCAATATCAGGTAAACTTTGTTAGGGGTAGATTTTTCTGAACAACTGTTTTTCTTTGTCTCACGCCTTGCAAGAAAGACATGGGGTTGTTGACATGATTCTTTAAATCGGAAAAACTATAAGGCCGGATAGTACTTGGATGTGGATCAAAGTAGCGGACTCTTGGTATTAAAACTTCTTTGTTGTGGGCTGAATGCTGGTAAAACGAACTTGTCGGTTTCGTAACAAGAGCCATTTTCTGTTTGTCTGTCTGGGTTGTAAGTGGTTTTCGAACAGAGAGCATAAAAGGAGGCGGCACCGGTGGCGGCGGAGGTGGTGTCGGAGGTAATTTTCGTTTTTTTTGTTGTTTTAATTGTGATTTACGAGACTCAATGTGCAGAGATCGTGCTATGAATGACAACTTTTCTTCACATGCCAACTGAAGAGATTCTTGCCTTTTAGGAGGGGTGGTTGAGAAACTTCTTTTACTCGGTGAGCCTGGATACCAGAAAAAGTATCAATTGTAAATTCTTCTAGGGAACATGGTTTTCAATTTTTTTTCTCAATGTTATTTTGAGAGCACAACTACATTGGAAAAACTTATAAAATGAAAAACAAATCAGCATACAATAAATGAAATTTGATCATAATTACAAATATTTATACTTTGTAGTAAACTTTTTATAAGTAATTAAAAAAATAAAAACATCAAGAAGCGTGATATTTTATTGTACATCCATTTTTTATACTTATTCTTTACTTATGTAAAAGTGCAACTTTTATCAGTTAATTCACCATAAACGACATAGAAATTTGTATTTGGAACATATTTAGGTGTAAATAAAGTTTTTTTATTATCGGTTGACAAATTCACAAACTAATTTTGCAAAACCAAAGCAAGAAGTAGAAACAACTTCTAATTAACTATCTAAAAAATCAACGACTAAATTATTTACAGGGTGTGTATCAAAAAACAATGTATCACCTAGTTAAATGGATTTTGGTGCATGTTCTAATTTAAACAAATTTGACAAACACTAAACGAATTTCATTTCAAATTTGCAATATAAATATGTTAAAAAAATAAAGCTACAAAATCCACTGGTGAAAAATAAAAATGTATTAGGTACTTTCAAGTCAAATGAGGTGCATTTCTCAATTGTACTGATATCATAATATGTTTGTTGTTGCAACTGGTTTATGTTTTGAAAGCCAGTAGGATTGAAATAAATTTTAGACTTGATACAACTTGATCATTGACTCAAATAAGCCCACTCCGCAAGGAAATGAGCTTGAGTAAAACATAAAAAAATCCAACGAGTGTAGATTGGCCCAGTAATGTCCCAGTGCTTGTTCAACAAATGTATTTATATTTTTGATAATTAGGTACCTAATACAGTTTTATTTCTTGTCAGTGGATTTTGTACCTTTATTTAAACATAGAATGATTTTTTGCTGATGCAATTAATGCCTTTACATTGCAAGATTGATATTAAAACGTTCAGTGTTTACCAAAAAATTAGTTTTAATTGGAAAATTAAGGCACCAGAGTTAATTTAAACAGTTGATGCATTGTTTTTCTTATAATGAGTCAAAAATGCACCACAACTCAGTATAAGGCTAAAAATCATCAAAGAGAACTAATAAATTTTTAATCAATCTGTGCTATTCAACTGAGTAAATTCCTAGTTATAAAAAAAAGAAAAAAAAATCAATGGGCTGTATTTCTGTATGTGGAATGGTCTTTAATGATAAACAATCTTTTTAAAATATTCACAATAAAAAAATTGACCCTATTCTGACAATTCAGTCCATATAGATCATGAGTAAAAGTCTGAAAACTTCATCCAAAAAGACAAAGAAACAAATAAATTCTTGAAACAATGCAGTGAAACATGAAAAATGAGAAATAAATCACACATTCTCAAAAAAAAAAAAAAAATCTTGAAACAATGCAGTGTAACGAAAAATGAGAAATAAATCAATCACATTAAACACAATTTTCAAAAAAAAAAAAAAAAATTATTGAAACAATGCAGTGAAACATGAAAAATGAGAAATAAATCAATCACACATATTCTCAAAAAATAAAAAAATAAAATAAACAATAAAAAAAATAAATTAATTAAAAAAAAAAAAAAAACAGAATGAGCAAACAAAATTTGGTTCTCTTTAACTAGAATATATTTCTCAATAAGCACGAGCTCTTTTGATACATTTAAAGGATAAATTAAAATTAAATGGAAGACGGTAGAAATGCGCAAAATGTTTAAAATACGTTTAAAAAAAGTTTAATGGGTTTAAAAAATAATAAGAGTTTGACATTAATAGGTGGTGAAACATATGTAAGTATTTATGATGAAAAATGAAAATCATAAACAAGGATTACGTGAAATTTTGTCATTAATTTTCATTTTCGTTTGCCTATCCTCGTTGGGTTGATCTGTCAAACGCGTTTTGGCATTTCGCCATCTCATTGTTGGGTCTGTGTGATTTCTGCAAAGTCAAGTCTCTTTTGTAAGGTCGTCGGGGCTGTCTTTTGTTTGTCGGTATTTTTTTAAAATATAGTTTTGTAATGGTTTAAATGTATGTAAAATGTTAAATGAACTGTTGTTTGCATATTCCAAGTTTTCGAGTAAGCACATTTTTCGTCCTTTTTTGTCGTGCATGTTTTGTCGTCTGTATTGTTAAGGATTCATGAGTGGCTTAGTTTGATTTTTCTTTGATTCTGCCTTTTATTTTCAAGCGGAACATAAAAAAACTCACGACTTTATCCTCCAAATGCACCGACAAACAAAACCCACTCCCCACGTAAAACACACTGATGATGGTGAAATGCCGGAACGCGGGTCTGACAGGCCAACCGAATGGAGATAGACCAAAAGGACCGGTGATGACCAAATTTCATGTTCATCACCCCGTCGACAACAGACAAATCTCACAAATTTGCGACTAATTGTTTTACATAATTGAAATTCCATGGATTTTACAACTTCGTTACCTATATTGTTGAGAGGAAAACATTAATGTTTATTATTTGTTATAAACTCACTGCACATTAGACTAAAATGAAAGGGAAATAATTAAATTACCTGAATTTCTATTTTGTCCCAATGAGACAATATTTATAATGTTCTTTACAAGGCAGTATTCAAATAGAATGGAAAACTTTTCTGTCTCGCACTTGCCTCTAACTCTCTAATTTTTACATTTTAAAAACGGAAATACTGGACTTGATAATTTCCCATTTAAACAAAAATTCTTTTAAATAATCCATATTAGATCGAGTAAATTTAAAACGTTAAGAACTTAACTGTTAACTATGCCATCTTATAAAGAGAAAAAATAATAAATGTTATTATTACTCATGCATACTGAGAATAATCCCGCCACCATGTTTTGAATTCTCCTGAATATATTTGGCTTTTTCTCTTCGTTTCTTGAAGAAATTTTGCTAGGTTTCTTCAATAGTGACGAAGATTTTCCTATCACGGAGTCATTCCGGTTCGATGTCATTAACCCCTAGGAAGACATAAAATTTTACAAATGAAAAAGAAAACTAAAGTTATTTTAGCTAAATCGTTCAACTATTTATGTTCTTTAAACGCATATAGTAACGGGTGTAGTCGTGCATTGCTAAATTTATTTGTTTTACAGCTGTTAAAATATGAACAAATATGAAACTTTTCGTAGGAATGTCACTGTTTTTTGTTTTTATTGCAATAATTTTAATGCTTTTTAGGTTGTCTTTAAAAAAAATAAACTAAGGAAATTAAAAAATAAATAAATTTGCGCATACAAACAAATTTAACGATCGTAGTTAATTTTTTGATGTACGATTTATAATAAGTCTACAGGCATCTTACCCTTTCTCATCAAACTGTCTATGGATCATTTTAGTACTCTCTGCAGCCAACGAACGTTTTTTGCTTGGGGCATCTTATTTTAGGTCAAACATAATTTACATGCTAAAAAAAATCTATCATGCTTTAATTTTCCATATGGTATTAACATTTGACATTTAAAACTAATTGATATTGTGATGTTTTGAGTACGAGATATTTGGCACAGGAGAAGTACTAAATGCAATAGAATTGTAGCAATAAGTCTATGCTGTCTCAAACCATTTAAAAAAATTAAGATAGACCAAAGGTTTTTATTTTTAAATTTTATTATAAATCGCCTTTATTTATGTGAAATGCTCACAAACAAAGCAACATATGCTGCAACCAAATAGAAGAAACAGCTGATATACTAAAAAATAAACAATCTTCAAAACTTGTTAACTATTTAAATTATATTCGTTTTAGAGTAATTATTTGTCGTTAGCTCGCTGTACTGGCAGCGAATGTTTAATTGTTATACATGGCATTCTGGCTACAATTGAGAGTTTTAATATGGAAAAACCTTCTATACCGAAGAAGACAAAAGGTATAGTATGAGTCTTTTAACAATTTCAAATATTACGATAAATAATGGAGAAGAGATACTTCCTCTTTTTTCCTGAGTTTCTGTTAAAGCCAAAATGCCCATTCTGACATTTGCATGTTTTTAAACAGGATTTTGCAAGTGAAAGAGATTGATTCTCTTGGAAAAATACAGACGAAATTAGGCAATAAAATAAAATTAAAACTACACTGATAGACAAAATAAACGCACATCTTAAATTTTATTGTATTTATTTATGTTTATTCATATTTTGCACACCAAAAGTAGGTTTGGTTGTAAAAATAAGATATTTAAAAAGAAAATGTGCATTACCTATTTCTAAAAAATAATTATTGAGTAAAGAACAAAAATAAATAAATAAATAAAATATATAAATAAATAACNATTATTATTATGTGGGCCTTGACCATTCATGCACACTGGAGACTGACAAGGAACAGTCTTTTCGTGCCTTTCCAGCCCACATCCACACATAAAGACCTTCTTCTTACACGAATGGAACAAAAATTCACAATTCTAATTAAAAAAAGAAACAGAAATAAATTTTATAATTTTATTAAATTTTATGCAATTTAAAATGGGAATTTTGTATACATTTGGCCTTCCGAATTAAGAATTTTAAAAAGAAAAATTAAAGCTTGGATGGCAATAGGATAAATTAGATTACGAGTGAATTTTTGGAGCTTTATAGCACTCAGAAGAGATATAGCTAAACTAAGGTAGAAGGTTTGGGATGTTAGGGCGTGAAATGACCTTAGCCGTTAAAACTCCCTTAAAAATTAATAATAATAATAATAATAAAATAAAATGTAAATGTAAAAAAAATTGTGCCCTTTAATAGTGAGTACCACCTCTGGCAAGAATTTCGTCCGTTAAATACTTTTGCATTCCTTGGAAAAGATTTCTGGTAAAACCCTGAGGAATTCTTTTCCATCCATCAAGAACAGCCGTTTTTTGGCACACCAAACACTGAATTCAGGTAGTCATCTACAATACTCCACGGTGCATGGCATTATCCTGCATTAGCAAGAATCTGTCACTGATGGGGAGGGGGCAAATGGTATTAATTTTTTTTTATTACGTCTTGTAAGTACCTCTGTGAAGTTAGATATGTTCGTTGTACAACAACCAATTTGGTGAGGACGTCCAAGGAAATGCCACCCTAGACCACCGATGACCCACTGTGGAATGCCACCTGAGGAACCGTACAGCATGGGACAAACCTTTCTCCAGAGAGTCTCCTTATGAAATTATACCCATTTATAGACTTGAGGCCATCTCCTCACCTCATTTGTAAAGAGAACTCATTGACAATCTTCCAATGTCCAATCCACATGTTCTTTGCGAATTGAAGCCTGGCCATTTTCTGAGCTTTGTTTTCTTACATTCCTGGAGGAAATCGAAACATTTCGGACTTGTATTAACAGATTTCTTATCTCATTTTCTGTAATCCTGCGGTTTCGTATACCCTGATGACGGATGAATCTATTATCTCTTATTATCTATTAGTAACGCCAATGTATTTTATAAGGCAGTAAACGAACTACCTCCAAATGTTCAGATCTGGTGGATAAGAGAGCACTAGAGTACTGCAGAGAAGTTGTGGAGCAGTTCAGTTTTTATTTTATTATTTTTTTTTATTGTACGTCTTCAATTTGAGTGAATTTCTTCCTCAACTGTTTTTTTTTCTTTTTAATTAACTTATGAAGATGTATTTTTTTTTTTCAAACAAAGTTCTTTTTCAATCAAAAACATTCATTCAACACTCTAGCATGATGGAATAAAACGTAAAAAGAAATGTTTATTAATATTAAACAACCAAAGTCGCAGACACCAAAAGAAAATCTCATAATTCATTTTCAGCATTTCATATTGAATGTAAGATTTACATAAATTAAAACGTAAAAAATATTTCTGGTTTGGTGTGGATGTTGGATTAAAAACAATACAAACTTATTGTTAAACAATTTATTTAAAAATACAAAAAGATTTTATTTTCATTTTAAAAAGGATTTTTTGTGTGAATACATTCTAGAAGTGAAATGATTCATAATGACCGTGATGATCATGGTGATGGTGATGGTGGTGGTGATGATGTTTCTTCACATCAACTTTGTATGGCACTTCAATTGGGATTTTCACTGGAACTTTGACTTCATAAGGAACCTTCTTTTCAACGGTGTAAGGAACTTTTTTTTCGACGTAGACAGGGTAAGGCTTTTCGACATGAACTGGGACTGGTTTCTCAACTGGTACTTTGACTTCGTAGTGAACAACTTTTTCAACAGGTACATGTACTATTTTCTCGACTGGTACATGGACAGGGTACGGCTTTTCAACTGGAACTTTGACTTCATAAGGAACCTTCTTTTCGACAGTATAAGGAACTTTCTTTTCGACGTAGACTGGGTATGGTTTTTCGACATGAACGGGATAAGGCTTGTCGACTGGTACTTTTACTTCATAGGTGACCTTCTTTTCTACGGTGTATGGTTTAGGTACTGGTACTTTGACTTCATAAGGAACTTTCTTCTCCACGTAAACTGGGTACGGTTTGGGAACGTAAACAGGGTAGGGTTTATCTACTGGAACTTTTACCTCATATGGTACTTTCTTAACAACTTCGACTGGAAAAGGCTCTGGAACTTTCTTGACGACAGTGATGGTCTTTACATGATGTTCATGATGCTCGTCGTGCTCATGCTTTTTCTCAGGCTCGTGGTGAAATTCTTCAAATTCTTTATGCTCAAATCTCTTCTCTCTGGGTACACCTGCTGAGGCGAGTGCAATAACACTTAACACAATAACTGTTAGAAACTTCATGGTGAACTGATACTTTTCCAATTAACACACACTCCTTATATATAAAAATCTCCCACTCAACTGTGCCAAACCAAGCTCATCCCTTTCTATTCTTTTGTGCAACTAATTACAAAATCGGTTCATGTTCATTCATTCATTCACATGGAAAGGTATGATCTTTGAAGTGACATAACAGCGTTCATATCCACAGTTTAATCGTTTCTGATCATTTTGGCTTAACAGACACTTCTGCAGATGGTGTGAGGCCAATCTGATAGACCAAAACCGTGAGAATAGGCAGACAAAAATAATTAGACATGACCAAACAAAAGTTCATCACCACAGGACCCAACAGGAAATCTCACAATTTAACTATGAAGTGCTCAAATTTCAAAAGGAGAGTGTATTCCATCTTATAAACATAAGTAGAGTCAGTTAACCATATTTCGTAGTGTTTTACTACACTATTTCTACAATCTATCTAATATTTAAGCAAATTAACTTGTTGACAATTTTTATAAACAAATTTGTAATGAAAAATAGACACGGATTCAAAGAAAAGAAGGAAGAATCAAATGATTAACTTTTGGGATGTTGGAAAAAAGGTGATGCTGTCTCACCTATGGTCAAAGAGAAAAATTTGATTTATTAGAGCTGTTCAATTGTCTGCAATATATGACATGATTTCACATCCTATCAAGCATAACAAGAAATATAAAATAAATAGGAATTGTTTTCTCTTTAAGTATTTTAAGTGATGTCTAAAAATAATAAACCACTATTAATTTTTGATTTGCTGTTAAATCAAGTTAATGATAAAGTTGAATATTTCAAAGATTTCCAACTTTTTTATTTTGTAAAATTGTTAGAATAATATATGTAATAGTTTTCTAATTGTTTCTTAATTGAGTATTGGAATATAAAGTTTACTAAATAGTTATTACAGTTTTTATTTTGTTTCAGACAAGATTTTGTGTAGAAATGATATGGCCCTTGTTCATGTTTTTTGTTTTGGCATGGATACGAAGATCTGGATTGAAAGTCTCATATGATCATTGTTAGGAACTTTTTGATTGATTAAATATAATATATTACGGAATTTTTTAAATGACACTTATTTTCAGGTCATTTAACCACTAAACCCCTTTTGACTGCGGGCCTCATGCCCTTTATTCATGGGTTTTTCTGTGCATTTAACAACACATGTTTCTCGACTAAAGAGGAAGCCGTTGCCAAGTTGGGGAAGCTTTTTGAACCGAACGGGTAAGGAAAATGGAATCCCAACTGTCGATATAAATTTATATTTTAAAACGGTCAATATGTAGGTTTGCATCATTTCACGCTGGGTTAACGGAGCTCATAGCTAAATCAAAGAACAAAGAAAGGCAGAGAGTGTATGAATTACAGACCACCCTAACAAATGTTTCCGAATACGTTACACAAGCGTTGCATATTTTAGAGAGAAATGCTGGCATCAAAGAATACACTTGTAAGATTAATTTAACTTAAACTGCTAAAATTAAACTATTTACCTATAAACTTGTAAAATTAAATATTAAGTAAAACTCTAATCAAAAAGTAGTTTAGAATTCAATAAGCAATTAAGAATGATACAGTTTTACGATTTCACTCTTTAAAGTACGTTGTTTGTTTTGTTTTGTTAAGTGGTTTCAAAAGACAGATATATACTGAAGAAGAATTTGGACTTTGCTGTCAATGGTTACCAAAATATTTCTGGATACATAAAACTATTTGAGTATGTATATTAGTAATTCAGTATAGAAGCAGAATTGAAATAATAATTGAATATTAAAAAAAAAAAAAAAAATAGAAATTTTCTCTAATAACAAAAACTTACAATTCCTACATTAATTAAAACATACTTATCTAAATGTAAACAAAATTAAATGAGATGAGAAATCCATGAGTTTTAATAAACATTATTAATGATTATTCAGAAATTGTGAGATGCGGTCTGGTGTGATGTAGATTTCAGAAAAACATTTTCTTTATCGCGCTAATGTTTTGATCTTTATTGAGATCATCTTCAGGGCCTGAGATTTACATTGTTTAAATTTAACAAATACATGTAGGAAGTGGAAAAAAGTGAATTTATACAATGCAAAAATTCATTTTTTATATTCAATCCAAGTATTTCTACTTACTACTTTCTACTGAGTAGAAATACTATGTACTTTGTATACTTTAAATTTGTTAAATTTAAACAATCTTTGTAAATCCCAGGCCCTGAAGATGATCTCAATAAAGATCGAAACGTTGGCACGATAAAGAAAATGCTTTTCTAAAACCTACGGCACACCAGACCTCATCTCACGATTTCTGAATAATCATCGACTAACGGTCACTAATCACCACACAAACATTTTTAATTATGATAGTTTGAAAGAAAATTCACCAAAATACCTAAAAATCATTTAATGATAGCACTACAATTTATTCTATCACTAAATGATTTAGTGTTTTTGTGAATTTTCTTTTTAGCCAACATAATTGTATAATTAAATTCACTAATTTCGTGGTCCGCTTGACCAATTAATATATTACAATTAATTAAGGTTTTTAGTTGAGATAAAAAAGTCAATGGCACGAGCGGGATTTGATCCCACGATCTTCGGCTAGATACGCCGCTGCTCTACCACTTGAGCTATCATGACCTCGATCCACTCTGACACTAACTTCCCATCTCAACCCCACATTTTTTAGATCCTTGGGCTGTAGGTGTTTAAAAAAAAATCTAAGTATGTCGGGTTCGAATATATGGCTGCCACTGACACCCCCAATGTGTCCTTTATATTATCTTTGCTTTGCCCATCTTCTAGGTGATAGTTAAGAGAACAGTGATTGGTATGGAGGTCTATCATTTTTTCAAATCTTGCCTGCTGAGAAAGAGTTTTTCCACCTTTCTTTTTGTGATTTATGAATCTCTTAGTTTACCTCATATATGGTGCATTTGTCCAGTGCTTGAGTTTTTCTTCCTCCATTTCTAATATTTCCGCTTCAACTTAAGCACACTCTACAATATGCCTATTTGTGTCCCATGCATGAGAGGCTGCCCATTAGGCAAGTTGGTCTTGTTCATTTCCTTCTCTATACCCCGGAACCCTACTCTAGCTAACTTGTTTTTTTTTCTTGGATCATTATTGCACAATAGATCAATATTAGTTGTGGTGTGTAAGGTTGTAGAGGCCAAATCGTATTTACCTTTAACCTTAGAACTGCATTTAGTATATGCATTTAATGCTTTCTGACTGTCCAAAAGTATGTAGATTCGTACACATTTCATTTTTTTATTTTATAACTCCTGTGCACAGAGTAGGACTGCATAGACTTCAACTTGGAATATATTTGGAACCAGTCTGAGGCGGTTTGTCTAGGGTGCAATTCTATACTCCTACATCTATTCCCTGTTTCGCTGTTGATCCATCAGTGTATCATATTAGATTCCCTTTCTGAAAACCAATGTCCAGCTGGTAATTCGAGGGTCTATAACCATGCACCTACTTACATTAGGCACAATTTAAAAAAATAAATTAATAATAATAATAAATGGACATAACAGAAAACAAGAATGAAACAATCATACAGAATTGTTGAGTAAATATATAAACATTAATTATTGTTTGTTTCTATTGATTTTTTTTATAGTACAAATGGCGATGATAGAGCTAAAAAGAAGGATCAACTGCTGTGGATGAAGGATATAATATTTTTATTAAAAGAATATTTGTGTAATGACACCACTAAAAATGATTTATTAGCTGATGATTTGGATAATGAGAAGTATGATAGTAATTAATTTCATAACAAATTATTTAACAGCAATTAAAACATTTAAAATTTAAAACATTTAATTAAAGTTGATGGTGAATGTTGGTCAGCGAGTTGGTAAATAAATTTTGAACAGGCAATAGTTACTTATTTGTCTGTCTAGCTCCGTGGGTTTTGATATAACTCAAATGCGTTTTGGATTTTTGACTGTTGCACCTGAAGATGTGTTTGTGACATCAAAACCCACGAGTGTACCAATATTAATATATTTTATTTTTCATCTGACCAACCTGTAGTTTCATAATTTCTGATCATCATGGAATGAATCACAGCCTACTATCGCTGTTTTGGTCTGTTAGATTTGTTTCAACATTTTGCTAACTTCAGTGGTGGATTTGAAGATGGCGAAATGGCAAAATGCAGAAAAAAGTCTGAAAAACTCAAGAAAAACTTAGCAGTCTAGGTTAATTAGACATAATCAAACGACAGTCTCATCTTTCTGTTGTTTAATTGGCCGTATAAATCTTTGTATTCTTTATAGATGTTTTTTTTCATTTTTAAAATACATTTGAATTTCTTTGAAAATTTAAATTTTTATGAAATATAATGTTATATAAATGATATGAAATTAATATTTATACTCTTAGTTATGAGTCCTACGGTGATGACCTTCTTCAATTTGCAATAAATAGGGAAAATTTACCAGAAGAGTCGATGTTTAATGAAAAGTGTGTATCAATTATTCAGACTATTGAGTCTCATGCACGATTGAAATTGATTTGGAGGGTCGTTAAACCATTTTTTGTGTAAGGCTGTCTGTTATTGTTGATAATATCATTATATATTTAATTCTCACTTTTGTTAATTGCAGAGGGAAAATTATTTATACTCCTGTTACTAATGTTACTGAGAGTATAATGATAAGAGTCAATAAGTTCTTCGAATCAATTAGAATACTTCAACAATTAAAGATGCCCATTGATCCAGGAAAATCGGGCTCTTTCAACCTCAAAGTCGATCACATTTTAAAATTACAGGTACATTTATCGATACGCTTAATGAAATCTATTTGTATTAATAGACATATCAAATTTGTAGGAGCATTTAAATTCATCAATATTAGAGGATATGCTCAGCAGTGAATCCATCAATGAATATCGACAAACAATGGAAAAATTCCTCAAACTTTTTGATAAGTATGCCTTTTTTTTTTTAAGTTAAAATATGATACGGTATTTAACATGCAAGACTTAAAAATAACTTTTATTATTCAACTGAGACTGAAATGGAAAGGTTGTAGCTTTTATTCACTCATGCTTAAAACATAATGACTACCAAAACCAGCTATAAACATTAGACATATATTTTTTTCTTTCCAAAAGGTAGATTGTTGATGAGGCCAGGAAGACAGAAACAACATTTATTTTCTTGTCGAGCTTTCGGCAGAATATATTGCCTTCATCAGGACTTGGACGAACTTTCGAGTTAGTAATTAAGGAAAATTTAAAAATTGTATATTTAAAAATTTACTTATGTTAATTTGTTAATACAGAGTCCTGATGAAGGCGATACATTCTGCCGAAAGCTCGAAAATAAAATAAATGTTGTTTCTGTCTTCCTGGCCTCATCCCCAATCTACCTTTTGGAAAGAAAAAAATATATTTAACCTGAGAAGGCTGATCAATCACCAAAGAAAATATTAGACAACATTTAAAACAAATTTGAACAGGGGATTTAGAAACTTGCTGTTTCGCTTGACAATTTTTGCATTCCTGCCAAAACATGAAACCCATTATGGGGGTGATGCATCTAATTTATGCTTTATATGAGATTTGATGCTTGAGAGGTGTATATCATCCGTATATGACATATTCTAAGCCATAGTAACGTAAATGTTTCATTTGTCACACTTTATTTTAACTCAACTACTTTACTCCCTTTACAAACATTTTTAATTTGGAATGGTAAAAAAATAAATCATAAAAATTGATGTATTTGTTGATGAGATAGTTTTATTTACAGATATGATTCAGATGAAGATGTTATTAGTAAACTAATTAACATGCAAGAATTTGACATTCAGCCTAACGACGTTTTAAAAGTATGAATTCATCATTAATGATGACTTATTATTTTTAAACAATTTTAAAAACATAATACACTTTTTGTGTAGTGCTTAGAAGGGAAAAAAGTTGTCGGATTTCAAGATTATAAAGAAGCTGAGAGTGTAGCGGCTGAACTCGGTGCGAGAAATCGATTGTGGGGTTTCGTTCATTTTTCAAATGCTGGCGAAACGAAAATCAACACTTTTGTGAACTACACGATTAGGTAATGTAAATTAATCAGGGGTAGGGTTTTAAAAATAAATTTCTTTACCATTTAAAGAGTTAATGCGGAGAGGACTGATGACACATACTACATAGTTGATAAAGTAATGAGATGGACTCCTCGAACAAGACCACACGAGACTAAATATATTTCAAACGGATTTATTTATCTCCAAGACATTATAGACCACAGTATTATTCAAGAAATGACAGGAATAGAAGACATTCCAGGGAATGTGCTTCAATTTGTCCCTTATCCTTGTCACACTTATGATTCGTAAGTCAATTGTCTTGTTTTTTTATTTTTTGTTTTAAATAGTTGCATAAATCCATTCCTTGGCTGGTTATTTAAATTATTTAACTTTGTACGCTCTGACACATTCTTTGTGTTAAATGATGTTTGCCAAATTTTGATATATCAAACGTAAATAATTATAAATCACTCCTTTTTAATACAAAAGAAAATATTTCAAGGAAAAATTCACTAGCATATCTGAGATTTCTTTCTTACTTTATAAAGTCAGGCATGACAATAAAAAAAAAATTTAAAAAAAATTAAAAAAATTATGGAACCAACCAAATATGAACATGGTGAACTATACATGACATCTAGTTTTACTAATAACTTTCAATGTATCAATTTAACTTTTAACATTCCAAATACTAAAAATTCTAAATTTACATTATATTGGATAAAAGGATATATAATTAAAACTTAAATTAATTGAGTATTAATCTATTTTTTGTAAAAACGTTTTGTTTAGAAAACTTACCTTGTACTTATTTGGTTTCCATTTCAGGTTTATCACAGCGATATCAGCAACTTTTCCTTTTTTTATGGTGATGTCCTGGATCTATACATGTTCTATGATAGTCAAATCGATCGTCTATGAGAAAGAACAGCGACTGAAAGAAACAATGAGAGTTATGGGCTTGGGAAATGAAATCCATTGGATCGGGTGGTTTATTGATAGTTTATTACCAATGATGTTCACCGTATTAATGCTTTCGTGTATTCTTACCGTAAGATCTTTTACAAAAAATATTCAAAGATGTGTATTAACATGAATTAATAATAATGTAGTTTGGAGGAGTAATGGAGTTGAGCAGTTTTGCAATTGTATTTCTTTTTTTAACAAGCTATACTTTGGCGTGTATCGCTTTCTCATTTTTCCTCACTATATTTTTTTCGAGAGCGAATGTTGCTGCTGCCTCAGCTGGTATAATATTTTTCTTCTTATATCTACCATATCCGTTTATGGTCAGATGGATGGACCACCTCAACATATATCATAAACTTGCTGGTGTAAGTTTAGAAAATGTTTTAATTTAGAAAGTTAAATTGTACAATAAAGCTGTTTTGTTTTTCTGAAGTCGCTTTCCATGAACGTCGCTCTTGGACTAGGTGCTTCTTATATAGCAATGTTTGAAGAAGCAGGTGTTGGGCTCCAGTGGGGCAATATCGGTTCGAGCCCTCGATATGCTGATAATTATAGCATGCTTATTGTTATATACACGTTGCTTTTCGATTTTGCTCTTTTCCTTATACTTACTTGGTACGTAGAAGCCATTATGCCAGGTATGTTTACAATATTGTTTATTTAATTTTTTATTATTATTAATAATTAACTTCAAATTAAATCTTCAGCAATTAACATGCTTTCGACATTTAATATTAAAATTAATTAAGGTTTTTAGTTGAGATAAAAACGTCAATGTCACAAGCGAGATTCGAACCCACGATCTTCGGCTTGATACGCCGCTGCTCTACCACTTGAGCTATCATGACCTTGATCCACTCGGACTTTTTATCTCAACTAGAAACCTTAATTAATTGTAATATATTAATTGGTCAAGTGGACCACGAAATTAGTGAATTTAATATTAAGATGTGTAATAAAACATATTGCTCATAATTGTTTTAATTGAAAGTATGTTATAATCTTAATAAATTTTGGGATTTCAGATCATATAAAAAATTAATTAAAATTTTTTTTTATTAATTAAATTTATTTATTAAAACTGGTCTTATTAGAGCAACCAATAATTTTACAATAATATTATAGAATAAATAAATGTTTACATTCTTATAGACCCATTTGTACAATAAAATTTACATTTTACTATTCACTATTCATTTTTAACTACACAAGTTCATATGGTTTTGCTCTTTTTAATCTTCTGACCATGTTTCGGCAGTAAGAGTTTGGTCGCTAACACATTCTCGTGCTGGCTGAGAAGTGGTGTTTGGCGGCAAATCTTTGTATTTCCGCCGTGATGCCAGGGATTTTAAGATCCCTGTGTAAGTCCTTATTCCTTATGTACCAAGGTGCATTGACCATGTTACGTAAGATTTTATTTTGGAGTGTTTGTATGATTTTGATATTGCTGTGTTGAATACCATATGTCCACATAGGCTTTATGATTTGTTTATATATTTTATTTTGTATAGTAAGGTTGGAGCCACATCCTATCAACCATTATAGTTGTCTATACCTTAAACCTATTTCTGTCCTTTTTTTTCTTCACGTGTTCTTTCCATCTCAGCTTGGCATCTAAGGTCATTCCCAGATATTTAGCTGAATTGCTGTACGGTAGTTCCATCGATTGTGAGCGAAGGACATGGTCCACTTTTTTGTTTGTAAAGATTAGATGAACTGATTTATGCTGATTTAGTTTTTCCATTTTTTTGTCCATTCATTAAATTTTTTAAATGGAATTTTTTTTAGTAGATCCTCCAGTTAATTTTTTGAAAGTTAAGATTCTAATTAATTTTACTAATAGCAAAAAGCTGAAAAAATAAAAAAATAGTACAATTTTAATAAGATGTTAATATAATTGTAATCAATTTTGTTAAGACTGAATAATTATTTTAAACATAATAAATTTTATGGGAGTCTTCCTCGATGAGACTTGAGTGCTGCTGACTGCATGTGACACAAGTGTTTCCTATACAAATGTGCTCTTATCTAATAGTTCTTTCCGGTCCAACAATGCGCTGTATCAATGTGTCCAATTACACACCGACCTATTGCATACTGTTCCTATCCCCAAATCTGTCTTTGTCCGTTATCTTGGGTTCCATCTGGACTCGGGATGGATTCAGCATACACAATTAAAATGATAAGATGCTACATACTACTCTACAAACTTATTAAATAATGTAATCTTAAGTACAACCTATTTGGACGATATAGAACAATGGAGAATCGCTAAACGTCCAATATTCAATGTCTCCAATCCTTTCAATGTTTTTCTTTTGTCTCTAATAGTATCCTCTAAAATGACCTTAAAATCCTGATTATTCAAAAATTAATTCCTAAAATTTTCCCAGTAAACTTCTCATTACATCAATAGTCTTGGCCAAGCCTTGTTCTGCAGATCCCATCTTTTTTTCTTTTTTTTTAAGTTCGCAACAGCAGAGGTTAAATCAACCTCGGGGTGTTTTTGAAAAAAAGCTCATTTGTAAGTATGTCGGGTTGGAATGCAGGGCCGCTGGATTCGAACCCGGGACCTTTACCTTACAGTGATGAGCGCCGTGTCAACGCCTAAACCGTTGCGGCCACCGACGCTCCTAGATCCCATCTTTACAATCATATAAGGTATCTCAAACGGAAATGGCATGTGGTCTTCTTTCTAACAAATCGTGATAAATTACTATAGTGAAATGAAACGGGACAATCTGCTCCCCTCAGTGTAAATCAACTATGAAAATATATGTTCTTTAATTTTAATTGCAGATAGTCAATAAATTAATTATTAAAAAAAAAAAAAAACAGTAAAACAACTTAATCTCTACTTTTTTGTATTTTTCCTTACAAAATAATATAATTATTATAGAAATTACAAATAAAATCTTATTTCAGGTAAATATGGTATTCCCAAGCCCTGGTATTTCCCATTTAAGATGGAATATTGGTCAAGTACTACACACCAATCACCAAGTAGAATATTGAGAGATACCTCAAGCCGACCTATATCAGATATAGGGCTAAGTAAATATAATTTTTTTAATATATTTTTTAAAAATTCTTAAAATATGACATCTTCATTACTAATTGTTTAAATAATGTGCTTATTTAGGCGAGAACAACTTTGAAGAAGAACCAGCAGATCTAGAGGCTGGAGTAGTAATTGACAATTTGACAAAGACGTACAGCAACGGAAAGACTGCTGTACGCAAGCTCACAATAAATTTTTATGAAGGTCAAATAACTTCTCTGTTGGGGCACAATGGGGCTGGAAAGACTACGACGATGTAAAGCAAAAAGCAGTATTAGTCTAACGGTAAAGGGTTAATATTATGTTTTTAGATCAATTCTTACTGGTATATACAGACCTACTTCTGGTGATGCTTATGTGAACGGCTACAGCATTAAACGTGATATGGACAAGGTTAGAACCAACCTTGGGATGTGTCCGCAATTCAATGTTTTATTTGACAAGTAAAATTAAAATTTTGTACAAATTCAAACGGTTGAAAATTACATTGTACATTTTCAAGGCTTACTGTACAAGAGCATCTATTGTTTTATGGTAAACTTCGTGGAGGGGATAAAGGCGGTCTTCAAAAAGAAATTGCACAGATGCTACTGGATTTACAGTTGGAAAAGAAAAGTGCAGCGTTCCCAAATGACTTATCCGGAGGGATGCAAAGGAAACTCTCAATTGCAGTTGCTTACATTGGTGGAGCAAAGTTAGTTACAATCAGTTTACATGGTTTTCTTCAAATGTAACTTTTCTTAACTTCAGGACGGTGATTCTGGATGAACCGACTTCAGGTGTTGATCCATATTCAAGAAGATCAATCTGGGAATTGCTTATTAAGTATAAAAAAGGTAAACTTATACTATTTCTTTAAAATGAAATTTCTTCTATTCATAACTGACAATGACACACTGAAGACAGATGTCATATCATGTCTGATGGTACCTGCTTTTGAGCCAAAGCCTGTGCGGGTCCCTTTATGCAGAGAAAGGTTGCTCAATGTGTCCCACATAATAAAGGCGTGTCACGCCTTGGCACGTGTATGCATGCCGCCGGAGTTACGAATAGTTTTCTACCATAGCAATTGATCTCAGAAACAATCTTCACAACTTCCTACAAAGTCTCAACGGACTATAAAGGAGAGGAAGAACACAGGAAAGTATCAGATACAATGATATGGTACACAGATGGCTCCAAAACGAAGGAATTGGATCAGGTGTTTTCTGTACAAGCCCAAAACATGAGCAATCAAACTCATTAGGGAATACACTCCGGTCTTTCAAGCAGAAATACATGTCATCAAAGCTTGTGCCCTGGAAAATCTTAAAAGAGGTTACACTGGCAAAAAAATCCTCATAAGATCTGGTAGCCAAGCAGCCATCACAGCATTAGCATGTAAAAGAATCACATCAAAATTAATCAGTGAATTCATCCAAAATCTCCAAAACCTGGGGAAACAAAACAATCTGGTGATATCTTGGGTGCTATGGCACAGGGGAATTTTGGGTAATGAGAAAGCAGATAGTCTGGCCAGAGGAGGATCTGCAAGACCATACATAGGCCCCGAACCTATTCTTGGGATAACAAAAACAAATATAGAATCCTCCATTGAAGAATGGATCCAAACAAAACAAAAGGAGAAGTGGATAAACTCTAGTAGTGCTTGACATAGTAAACTTATGATGAAACAACCCTCACCAAGATTGGCAAAGGCATTGCTGCAATTGGAGAGGGTTAAACTCAGAGGATTGGTAGGACTACTGACCAGTCACTGGCATCTGAGAAAACATCTACTCAACATGGGTATATACAATGATGATCCCATTTGCAGATTATGTAATGAGGAGGAGGAAACAGCCACTCATATCATCTTTGAATGCGAAGCAACAGCTCAATGCAGATTTAATCTAACTTACGGAATAAACTTAGGGAATCAAATTGCAGCAGCGACAGTCAATGACCTGACACTTCTAAGAAGAAGGATTGAGCCTACTAAGGGACTAGGAAGGTACAATAAGCCAGAAGGCTGCAGTGCCTGGGGAGTGCAAACCCGCTTCCTAGAATCCTTTTTCGACAAACTCAGAGGAGTGGTAGGACTACTAACTGGTCACTGCCATGTGAGAAAACATCTACTCAACATGGGTATATACAACGATGATCCCATTTGCAGATTATGTAATGAGGAGGAGGAAACAGCCACTCATATCATCTTCGAATGCGAAGCAACAGCTCAATGCAGATTTAACCTAACGTACGGAAAAAACTTAGGGAATCAAATTGCAGCAGCGACAGTCAATGACCTGATACTTCTAAGAAGAAGGATTGAGTCTATTGCACTGAACTAAGGAACTGGGAAGGTACAATAAGCCAGAAGGCTGCAGTGCCTGGGGAGCACAAACCCTGTTTCCTAGTATCCTTTTTTACCATACCATACCATACCGCAATCGGTTTCTGGATCTACGATCCCCAGTGTGCCGTTTTTTAGAGGACGTGGGTTTTTTTTCCATCTAGTTAGTTATATTCTATTTGTTTTGTTTCAATGCATGTATTAATTAGTGTGAGTGGTGAGGGCTGATGGTGAAAAATAGCAACCTAATCGACCCTAGTTTACGTTAGATTATTAATACTGTGTACAGGCCGATGAAGGAACATCCAGTACTCCATTGCCTAAGAATGAGTGTTGCATTTGCAGTTTGCATGCATTTGGGATGAAGTGACATAGCTGTTGATAGCCCCCATTAGAGCCTACCCTGTTGGTAGGGAAGCGACAAACTTCTGGGCATCTAACTTACTGGGATACTAGTGACCCAGGCACATAACGGGTTGGGTGAACTCCCTGATTTATAGACACTAGTGTCAGCACATCAGGAGTGACAACCCTTCGGGGTGAAAATATAGTGTGTTTAGTTGGCATTTATAAGTTTGTTTTTAATTTTGTTATATATTGGGTCTCAAAAGTCTGTTTCACTGGATAATACGATACCTCAATGGATTGAAAATCAGTCTAGATATATGTATAGATATAACAGTATAGATGTAACATAAAAAACAGGCTCTTAATGCAGATTAATTTTTCATTCTTGTCTAATTAAAATTTTCCTTGGTGGTAAAATACTTTTGAATCAAATGATCTAAACCAAAAATGCGAACAGAAAATTGGAATAGCAACTCTTTAGCAATAATGTCTTTGTACAAAAATGAAACCAATTTTTTTTTTTTTAAATAAGGAACTAGTGATGAAATTTAAGAAATATCATTGGCCAGTAGTGAAAGTTTTACTTTTTTTCGACTATTTTTACAAATTAATTCTATGTAAATTGTAATATGACAAGGAATTGCCTGTTTAAATTTTATTATTGTTGGCTTAGATTTTTGTGATTTAGAAAAAATGACATTTCTTATGTTGTTAAAAACCAATACTGTTTCTGATTAAATTTAATGGCGAAATTTTTACATCCTAATAATTCATGCTATGATATCTAATATTAGAAAATGCAGAACAACTTTGAATTCAGACGTGTTTATTGCTTACAGACAGAACTGTGATTCTTACAACCCACTACATGGATGAAGCAGACCTGTTAAGCGACAGGGTTGCTATTGTCGCTCAAGGGAAGGTCAGGTGTGCAGGATCCGTTGCTTTCCTTAAAGAGAGATTTGGTAAGGGTTATGAGATCACACTTGAAATTGCGCCTATGGAAAAAGATCCCGAACCAGCCTCGGCACAATATACAATAGTAAGTAATTGTCTTTTCTTATAACATTTTTTACTGTGATCTTGTTTTTTTTATAGTCAGCCCCGTTGAGAAAAATTGATGTTGAAGGTAATATTTTAAATTCAATTTCTTCGATCTTTCTCTTCTTTTAATGCACGGAAAATAATTTCTTGATATTAGGAGTAACAGCTGCAATAAGAAAAATAATACCGGAAGCAAAACTTGAAGATCATAAAGGCTCAGAAGTCAAGTATACACTTCCAGAAAGAAATTCTTCTCAGATTGCGAGGCTCTGTGACCACTTGGATGCTAATGAAGGACAGCTGAAAATTGCATCTTACGGGATCACAGACTGTTCATTGGAGGATGTATGCAACTTTTGCATTTATAACTTCCTTAGTTGTCATATTTCAATTTGATTTTATTTAAGATATTTTTAACTGTCACTGGTGAAGGTGATCAGAAGAAATCCAAATATCCAGCCAGTGAAAGTTCAGGTAATAAATTTGAAGTTTTGGCCTTTTGGTGTATATTAATTTTCTTGAGTTTTTAGGTGCATTTTTTTCCAACTTAGCCAAAGCACTGAGCAAACAGAGGAATTCAAATGACAGTGGTACGATTCCTTTTTAATTTTTATTTCATAAGGGGTTTTCTTTGCTCTAAACATTGTCATGTTTTATTTTTTGTTTAAAACAAAACTGAAATTTATAAAACATACCTCATCTTCTTTTTTACTTATTTTTTCAACTAATGACTGTTTCTTGTTGGTGGGCTTGATGGTGCTTGAAAAATGTTTGTCTTATGGTAGAAAAACAAAATAAAAAAAATAATAAAACAAAAGATTAGGAAACATATTTATTTGTGGTTTAACATATGTTTAAAATCATAGCTGGCATACATAAAAACCAATATGTTTTTTAAAATTCTGGTTATAGATGGAATAATAATTTTCGCTCCTTGCCTAATGACTTGGATGAGGGCCCACATTAACAATAGAATTTAAGAATCTTATATCTTCTTAATCTTTATTTTTTTTAAACTACACAATAATTTTTTTATATTTTTGTTTTGCTATTTTAAAGTGGTTAATTAGACTTAAATTTATAGCATTCTCACCATTAAAAAAAAAAAATTAATAAAGGCAAGCATCCACTAAGGGTCATAATCTGCCTTGAATTGCCAGCCAGCAAGAGGGCCAACATGACCACGCCAGGCTCACCATACTCGTCGACAGCCTCAGCCACCACCCCATTCATGCTTCGTCTCCTAAATTATGAGAGCAGACCATCCACCCTCAAGAAATTGAAAAGTTTTTCTACTCTTGGTCCATCATCTGACAAAATCTGTCCCAAACTACCCGAAACACCGCATGTACTCCTTTCCGGTGCAAGTCGGCTACAGACAGAAAGAATATGTTCCATTGTTAGCGATTCTTGACATTCTTGATATATTGGTGGAGGTTTTCTCGCCATGAGAAAACCATGCATGAGTCTGCTAGCTAAGACCGTCTCTTCCTTATGTTAGCGTGGCGGTCGACCATTTTTTTATATCTACTTTAATTTGTCTCATCTTGTTAAGGGTCATTTCATGCCATTCATTATGCCACTTTTACCAAATTGTTCTCTTGATATGGGTGAGAAAGCCTTTCTCAGATACCTGATTTATCCAGATCCCTTCCATGACCACTGATTTGGCCGCCGCATTGGTAAACTTCCGGGAATGGCAGCGGTTTAGTTTAAAGTGGAATTGCTAACCACACCCTAGATGAGCGCCTAAGGTAAAGTCTCTTATCGAGCTCAGCCTACACCTGCCATGTGCATTCGAGGGACGCCATAGGCCTAGCCTAGGTAGTCCGATCCTTCACTTCCCCAAGGGTACCACGCAGGTCATAACAACACTGCACAACAATGCAAAGCATACTCGAATCAGAGACACCGATTCACTACCCGTTTCCATTCGCTTACTTCGCTTCGAAGGACTATTCAGCATGATCATCGCGTGCTCAACGCTTACGCTGTCGCTTACGCAACATTTTCCGTGAGGCTGGGGGTAATTACGCTGGCCATACGCAAGCTTCACAAAGGTCACAGATAGAAGACAGCCTCTGTCTATGTTCCCGCCAAGGGCGTCACCACGCGCCACCACGAATCCCTTCCCAGTGTAACTAGGGCTGAATTTGGAATGTTTAGTTACCCTGTGGTACAGATGGCCATACACCCTCCCCCGTCTATGCAGACAGGATCACCTCGTGTGACTCTGCTAAGGCACCCGCTGCCCATGCCGACCCTAGGTCGACACGAGTACAGCTTTTGCTTTAGAGAGGTTGCCACGCCCTCTGGGCTGCACCTTTATTTTGTTCCCGGATACCCCCCTTACAACCAAGGGTTGGGAGGGGTCATAGGATAGAATGAAGGAACTCGGATTGAGAAAAAGGGCCGTGGATGAGAACACGAGGGGAGCCGTTTCGGGGTCTCGAGTCTCAAACCACACTATACCACCTGTCGTCGTAGTAGTTCCACACATAGTGGGCCACGACTCCCAGGGAGGGACATGAATAGGACAGTGATATTTTTAGAACGAAATTCTCTCAGGGCTAGGAGTATTTCCTGATTTACAGGATTAAGGGAGAATTGGTTCTATTTAGCTGGCATGCAGCTAGAGAATGCACCTTTATTTTGTGCCCGGATACCCCCCTTACAACCAAGGGTTGGGAGGGGTCACAGGATAGAATGAAGGAACTTGGATTGAGAAAAAGGGCCGTGGATGAGAACACGAGGTGAGCCGTTTCGGGGTCTCTAGTCTCAAACCACACTAGTCGTTGAGTGACTGGGCAAACAATATTCAAACTTTTATTGAGCGCAATGAGGTCGGTGGTGAAGTTGCTACTTATTGCAGGAAGAGAAAACTTATTACTTCTTGAGTACAAAGATAGCTCCACACAGATTGAATTCTTGGAGCCGGGTGTATAAACGAAGGTTGCCTTTGTGATAGAGGAATACAATTTAAGGAATTCCTGTTTGTATATCTCAGGCTTTCTTTTACAACTTACATTAGCGAAGTTTAGGGATATTCTAGGTTCAGGTAGTTGCTAGGGCAGAAAAGACTTTTATCATTTGAAGAGGAGGTATCAAGAAGTCAAGTTCATAAAGCAAGGAGGAGACATGTATAACAGAGTGCTTTCTGAGGTTTTGAGTACTCTCTGCTGTGTGGAGATGGAGTTGGGAATAAAGGTCAGACTAAGTGCAGGACAATGGAAGCTGTTTTGATGTAATATTTCAAGTCTGAGATTTCGACGTTATGTCTTCCCTACCCATCTCACCATGATGACTTATAATGAATTAATTAAAATTTAGAATTAAAAAAATGTATAATAAAAGACTAAAAATTAGTTATACAAATTCCTATTGTTACCAATAACAAAATTATTGTTATTGTTTAAAAAAATGGTATCAAATAGTACAGCAAGATTAACTAAAATTCTAATTGGTCAAGCGGACCACGAAAACTAGTGGAATTAACTAAAATACTTGAAAATGTGTATCAGTACTTAATTTATTGGTATTTCATTTTAATTATTAATTTATTTTAATTTTTACTTTTTATAGTAGGATAAGTTAGGTAAAGAAAGTTGAGGTGAAAAGTCCCATGAAATATGACCTATGCTTAATGATAGAACATCAAGAGCATCTACATGAAAGTTTTGGGAAAGTCCCGCTCGTAACACTAACTTTTCATGTTAATTTTCTTTGCATAATTTAGACTACTATAAAAGTACATATTAAAATGCATTTTTATCTGTTTTCAATTTTTTTCTATTTTATATGAATATTTTAGGAGCATCACAGACAAGCACAGAACCACAAAAAGATAGGATGAGCAAAATAGTCAAATGTTTGAGACAGTTCAAAGCTTTAACGTTCAAGCGTTTTAATAATGTTAAAAGAAACAGGAAGGCAATTTTATCTGAGGTGAGAAATTTAATAATTCAAGAACATCTTTCTTAGTGTAATAACAATTTCAAAATTGTATAAAAAAAATTCGTCAAATGTTCCAATTTGGTTTTTTATTTTGTATATTATCGTTTTGCGATTTTAAGTGTCGATTTGCGTGTTATTTTTTCAATCATACTGTGTTTTGCAAGTTACAAATATTAAGCTACAGATTCATCATTTCACAGATCTGAAACTTCTGCAACCATTAACCAATCTTTTAGTTTAGACTTAGGTTTCAATACTTCTTGAACTTCATTTGATAGTTTGATAGTTATCACAGATCTCTCCTGTGCTTCAGGATATCTACCGCAAGGCGGAGAGCATTCTTATGTGGGAAAAAGATGCTAATTGAATAAATGATTCGGTTTAACCAGGTCGCACCACTGATTTTATTGCTCACCATAGCATGTTCTTGCCAGGGAGGAATGTTGATGGACTGGGTTGTAGAGGGGTTTCTAAAGGTGGTAAATTGCTAGAGGCCCTATTCTAATGACAAAATCATCAGGATACCACTGTACTCATGTGACTGATGTCGCAGGCTGATCTAACTCTTCTTCTATCTGATTCTTACACTTATATTCTAACACTAACTCTGACTCCAATTGTCCACCTCTACTCTACACTCTCTGCATCTTACTTCACCTCAATAAACACTGACTCAGGCTCTGACTGATGGTCTTCAGTGCAGGCCAGTTTTAACGGCCTCGGCCTGCGAACCTTAGATGGTGTGTACTTGGAGAATGTGGACTCCAGTCCTTTCTGATGAGGCTATCTATATGACCTGGAATGGCATGAATCACTAGTTCTTGCTGATAAGGCTGTATGACCACAGATGGCAAGACCTCGTCTCATGAGCCTTGGTTTTTGGATGAAGTAACCGTTTATAAAGCCATGAACAGGAGCATTAACTTCGGGCCAAGCTGGGAAATGTAATTGTTTGAGAGATGCACCTGTTGTTAATGGTCAATGTCTGAAAAATACATGACTTTGGAAATCTATACTTAATCAATTCTGGCTTAACCTGACTACTTTCTTATGTTACATGATTACAAACCCTAAATTTAATCTGGTCTTTTGTTTCAGTGGATCTCACCTTCACTTATTATCCTTTTTGCTATGGTAGTAATGAAGTTGTTTCCTCCTCTACAAGAAAGGCCATCAAGGATTCTTGTATTTAGCGACTATGACCCTCCCAGGTATTTATTTCAATCAGAAGGTGAGACAAATGAACTCACGAAAAAACTTCTGATGCAGCTTTCATCAGATACAGGATTTGGTCATAGTTGTGTTCGTACTGAAGTTAAAATAAGGTATTGAAAAAAAAAAAAAATTTTTTTGTAATGAATTAATTGTGGATGTCTGCCAGGGATGTCTCATGCACTCATGCAAAGAACCACATTGAAAATAGACTAGTAACACCAAAAAATTGTAGTTGTTCAACTGGAAGTCAAATATGTGATGAACACGAAACACCTCTTCCTGCTCACATTAAGGTAGCCGTCAAAAGAAATCAAATTTATTGTTTTTAAGTGATTTGCTTTGTTTACAGACATCTTCAGCAGAATTAGTGATTGATTTAAATAACGTAGATATCCCTCATTGGCTAATACACACATATCCTAAATATAGATTGAAAAGGTAAATTGATAATTATTTGACAATTTAGATGTTAGTTTGGCACAAGCTTAGTTGTTTTATTTTGTTAGATTGGGAGGAGTAGAGATGAATGTAAGTTCTGAGATTCCAAACCTTGATCTCGAGGGTAAAATACAAGACATGAATAACAATAACAATAAATTCAAAGGAGATTTAGGGTTGAAACCATGGTTCCAGTTATTAAAAGTAAGTCTATCGGTTCATGTATTGTTAAAGGAATCTAATGTTAACCAATTTTTAGATATGGTTTAACAACAAAGATTGGCATTCTTCAGTTACGATGTTAAATTATGTTAACAATGGTTTACTGAGGGCTTTGATAAAAGACAAGCCTGGTAAATATGGAATTATGACAGTTAACCATCCGATGAATTTTACAGCCAAAGAGCGTGAATTGGAAATAGTGTAAGTTTTTTAAGGCTAATACAATAATTATTCATCAAAAAGTGAAATTTTATGTCCTTTTTAGAAAACAAAGCAGTAGGTCTATTTTAACTACAATTGCTGTTATATTTGCAATGAGCTTTGTACCAGCTTCGTTTACACTGTTTTTGATAGAAGAGAGAGTTAGCAATTCTAAACACCTTCAGCTATCATCAGGTGTTAGTCGTTTCATATACTGGTCTCAGACATTCATATGGGATATGGTATGTTTATAGAAAAATTATAAAACAGTCTGTCGTTTTTAAATTGAATTTTGATAAACAAATTAAGATAAACTGTCAAAATTTAAAATATTTCATGAATATTGCAAAAATTATACAGAATTAATTAAGACTTCATTAAAGCTGGTCATGAGGGTAAACTGCATTCACACATGTACAGACACAACGGTTTCCGCCATGTTTTATTGTCTTCAGTCCCGGGGGCCAAATGGTTTGTTTTATGGCCTATTTTTCAGCCTTAAAAATGCACCTACAGTGAATTGTTAGGCTCTACTATCGGGGTCTTCAAGTGGTTTCAGCGCATTCAGAACAAGCCCTTTAGCTACCCTTTGCTGCGAGCTGGGAGCACTGCTGCCTGAATGTCGGAGAGTCGCTCACCCTCAGCTATGGGGCGGGGCCTTGCCAAACCAGGACATCCACTTTAGGGTGCAATCCTTAGATGTCAGTATAGTAAAATATATGAGTGACTTACTTGACTGGCTTAAGCGAAGCCTTTCCGGGAAGATGGCTGTGTTAGCCAAGTCATCTCCCTGCCATACCTTTACCAAGCCTAAGTGCTTGAAGCTTAGATTGAGATATGCTGGTGTTCGGCGCATTTTTAAAGATGGGTCTAAGACTGACAAAGGTGTGGCATGCGCTGAGTATCGTGAGGGTGTGTCCAATTTGTGGTCACTCCTGCTGCAATTGGCGTCTACACGGCAGAACTTTATGTGATTTGGCATGTGCTTGCGGTGATTTGAGATGTTGGTGGCTCTGCCTACCTAATCGGCACTGACTCTCTCAGTGCAGTTACTCCTGTGCTTTTGTTGGAGAGATATCACAAAGTGGCGCACCTCGGCAAAATGGTGGTTGTTGTCTGGGTACCTGGACCCATAGATCTGGAGGGTAATGAAAAGGCACATGATGCGGCTAAAGCTGGGATGTTCCAACATTCGGACTTAACCATTGCGATCCGGCCCTCTGATGCTAAGAATGCAATAAAAAACATAATGAAAAGAAGGGCCTGGTTGACAGAGAAGCTCTCACATATCAAGAGCACTGTGTCAATTGGTGGCCCTCACATGATCTGGATCATAGAGAAGAAGGGTCATCCTCACCTGGTTAAGAATAGGCCAAGCAAGGTGATACAAGGACATTACTTTTGGGACAAAGCCCATGCTTGCATCCAGCATGCAGGGAAAGGTTGTTCGATGTGTCCCACTTGATTGAGGGGTGCAATTCCTTGACTCTATATAGAGAGAGTGTAAGAATACCACCCAATTTGAGAATTGTGCTTGAGCACAGCAGTAAGTATTTGGGTGATCCGATTCTTAGAGGAAACTGGATTGTTCTACTGTGTAGCAATAATAGTTGTGTATATTCACCTAGTTTGGGTTGAGAGTGAATGTATTTTTGTATGTCAATGGTGGAATATTGAGTACCCCATTGCCCTTTAATTAGGTGTATAAATATGTAAAGGGTAATGGAAGAATATCGATTACTCCACCAGCCTAATTGAATAGGTGGTATGTAAATAGGAGTAAATGTTTTTAAGGATGAACATGAGTATGAATGAGTTTTGGAACTGCATGCGTTGGGTGCTGAATTGACCCTAGCTGTTGACAGCAACCCCCCCCCAGCACAACTTGCTGAATGAGCGGATAAGACTGAGGTCTGTCCCTAGACTGCCAACACTCGGGGTGGGTGATTTTCAAGTCTGCCGGCAATTTAGTGTAAATAGCAAAAGCTGGAATTGCCGGTGGACTATGGGAAGCGAATAGGCACAACTCGGCACATGATTTTATGTACGTTCATGTGCGGATTTGAGCCTATATAAATCTAATCCAACTTCAACACAAAGATGTAAACCCAATATAAAAATAGCTTGTATGGTATTGTAAAAAATAAATTAATAAAATTAAGAGCTGGAAGTGCAATAAATAGAAGTATTCATGTATTGATTGTTAAATCCTAATATTTTTTTTATATATTTTGACTTTCAGTTGTGCTTCATAATTTCTGCATTTTTATGCATTTTGCTGTTTTTTGCATTTAATTATCAAGAGTTTGTATCGAGAGCACATTTACCAGGAATAATTCTGCTTCTATTACTCTATGGGTAAATAATGTATAATGAACATGATGTATAATATGAATATAATAAAAATGATTTTCTTAAACTGTTACTGAAAACCTGAATGACAACAAATAAATCTGCACCCTTGGGGTAAAACTGAATTTGTAAAAAAATAACTTTTCAGGGTTGTGATTTTAAAGTTTAGAACTTTGTTACTAGTATAATTATCAAAATGTTTTGAGGTCTCTAAAAAGGCACATTGCTTTTAAAAGGGCTTAGAGACTACTTACTAGAATATACTTATTTAATTAGTTGACTATTTACTATTAATTTCCAATTTTTATGCACAAAACATGGGTTCGAGTCACATTCTTGTTACTGTCCTGAGGGTGCAGAAATAATGTTTCAGTCATTTGTGATTACTATTGTTAACTTTTTTAAAAATGTTAGATGGGCTGTAATACCACTCATGTACACCGGAAGCTTTCTATTTGAGATTCCAGCTTCTGCTTTTGTAGCATTATCATGTTGTAATGTTTTCATAGGTGTAGTTACAACAATTGTTCCTTTCATTCTGGATTCATTTAAAAATGATAAGGTAAGTGTTATTACTCAAGTGAATTTTATACGTCATACTGATGTACAAATTGAAATTTTAGAACATAGGAAGAACAAATAATCTATTGAAGAACATATTTTTAATATTTCCCCAATTTTGCTTGGGTGATGGCTTAACCAAGCTATCGCATAATCATAACCAGGCTGCACTTCGGGAATTTTACGGTATGGTTAAAAAATTCGGACAGTTTATTAAAGGATATTTTGTAATTATTTTTGTCACAATGTAGATATTGCAAAGGATGTATCTATTTTTGATTGGGATTTCCTCTTTGTTAATTACCTCATGTTGCTCTTCTTGGGTGTCGTTTTCTTTATATTAACTCTCTGTCTGGAATATGATATATTTAGAACTCATTTACTTGATCTGGTACTATGAAAAGAATTTGTTATTAAATGAATATAAATTAATAAAAAAACAAAAAATAGTTCTTTACCTTTAGAAAACCTCAAACTAAACCTCTAGACCTGGATGAAGATGTGCTCAAGGAGCAAGAAAGAGTAAAAGATCATTACTGTAAGGATTTGGTTATTATAAGAGACCTCTATAAGGTGAGTTTATTACATTAGGTAGTAATAGTACATTTCTTACATCGTCATAGTACTTAAATTTATAAATATGTTATTTCATTCAATTTTGTAGAAATACAAACGGAAGAAGCAGCCATCTGTTAGGGGAGTAAGTTTGGGATTAAAGAGTGGTGAATGTTTTGGATTGCTGGGTATAAATGGGGCTGGCAAGACTACCACTTTTAAGGTGAGCAATATTTAAATTTTTTAAAAACTTTAAATGGAAGTTCTTGTGCGTGATGAAAGTTTTAATAACTAATTGATGGAAGTTCGTAGATGTTATACCTTTGATATATATATATAATTTATATTGAATTATAAAAATCAGTCAGCATTTTGTTGCATGAAACTGACATATATTTTCAGATGCTTACCGGCGAGTTAAAACCATCTAGTGGCGATGCTTTTATTAAAGGATACAGTGTAACTACAAATATTGACAAGGCACGGACTGTTATGGGTTACTGCCCACAATTTGATGCTCTGCATCCCCTTTTGACAGTAAAAGAAACATTACAGCTGTATGCAGAAATTAGAAATATACCAAGTGCTATGGTTCCTCAGGTGATACACATTTTAATTGCTTCAGCAGTCATAATTTACTGTATTAATTATTTAAATTATTAATATATACTTTATTCTAAGGTCTTCGTTAAGATGAAGAAGTCATTGAATACACTTTACTTTTTTTTGGTATACATAACCCACGACCTTCGGCTCAATAGCTCTCTAACCATTTGAGCTATTTAGTTAGAGCAGCGGCACATTGAGCCAAAGGTCGTGGGTTCGAATCTTGTTCGTGGCACTAGCTTTTTCATTTCAACCAAGGTCTTAGATAAAAAGTATAAATAATTTATTTAATTGCTTTGTCAATAACAGTAGTAATTATTAACTCAATCTAGACCGTTGATGAAATGATCAACGAATTGGGACTGTCACAATTTGTTCACAAACTAGCGGGTGATTTGTCTGGTGGGAATAAAAGGAAATTGTCAACCGCAATTGCACTTATCGGGATGCCTCCTGTTGTCTTTTTGGTAAACGGGTTTGTGAAGAAAGTTCCGTACTATAAATACTTATTTGAAATAATCGTTCAGGATGAACCGACAACTGGGATGGATCCAAAAAGCAGAAGGTTTCTGTGGTCGTGTATTGAAGAGTTGATAAAAAGTGGCACTTGTGTCATTCTGACTTCACACAGTATGGAAGAATGCCAAGCGTTATGCACAAAATTGACCATCATGGTCAATGGACAGTTTCAATGTTTAGGATCAGCCCAGCATTTAAAGAAAAAGTAATATTATATTATCATAAAAAAGGCAGAAGACTTTATTGATGGGGAAAATAATTTTGAATACTAGAAATTAAATTCACTAATTTCGTGGTCCGCTTGACCAATTAATATATTACAATTAATTAAGGTTTTTAGTTGAGATAAAAAAGTCAATGACACGAGCGGGATTCGAACACCATTTGAAAAATGGCAAAAAGGAGGGAAAATTCAAAAGGTGCGGTTGAGATGGAAGTTGGTGTCCGAGTGGATCAAGGTCACGATAGCTCAAGTGGTAGAGCAGCGGCATATCAAGCCGAAGATCGTGGGTTCGAATCCCACTCGTGCCATTGACTTTTTTTAACTCAACTAAAAACCTTAATTAATTGTACTAGAAATTAAATTAACCAAACGAATCAGTCTATATTAGATAATCAATCATAATTTTTTTTTTAAATATTGCATACCACGATTGTCAACAAAAAAGTAGTTGGTTTTATTAAATTGCTTTTAATAAATTCCCCTCAACTTACAAGTTTTGTGCCTTCTTATTAAAAATTGTGCAACTACTAATTTTTAAATGTTTAGATATGGAAAAGGATATCAAATTATCATAAGATTTCCATTGGAAAAAAGAGATGAACTAAAGAAATATGTTGCCTTCCAATTACCGACTTCGGTTGTCGATGAAGAGCATTTGAACCAGATTCGTTACCATGTTACAAACATAAAAGTTTCAAAGTTATTTATTGAAATGGAGTATGCTAAAAATCGTGGTTTGATTAAGGACTTTTCTGTATCCCAAACCACTTTAGAAGAGGTGAATTGTCCACTCCTGCTAGTCTATACTTTGTAATTTTTTTTCATTCTTTTTACTCCACAGGTCTTCATGGCTTTTGCCAGACAACAAGAACAAGAGGAAGCAATTAAACACAAAGAGTTGTGGTGTTTGAAATTATGGAAATATTTGTGTTGTAAAAAGAAAAAAGAAATAAAAATGACCGCACCATCCAAAGAACTGCCTGGAACAGAACCAAATGACAAATCTAAAGAACGAAAATCTGGAGATAACAAGTTGGATTCAGTGGAAACAATAAAATCTGTAAAATCAGTAAAATCTGTAGCCACAAATGCATCACAACATTCATCGCATAATTTAGAACCAACTGAATCTGCTGGAAAACTCAAACTCAAAGAAACGAAATCTAAAGAAATTAACTAAATTTAGACAGTTTTATCAACAAAAACATGATAACATTATAATTTTTTTGCTTCTTACAAATGTAGTTTTTAACTACCTGTTAGTATGTAGTTAGTACTTGGGCACACACTCCCTCTCTATCTTATTTACTACCATTCACTCAATATATAAACAATTAACTAGTCTAATTGAGGGTTATGGGAGACTCAATATTCGCATTCGCTCTCTATTCGAAGCCAAGGAATGACACCCTTCCATTAAGTGAGATTGATCAACATTTCTCTGCATGCTGGCCACATATGCGGGCAGCGTACTTGTAAGCAAGGTTAGGATGTTCTTAATGCACAAGAACTTCCTGGATGACCCAATTATCTGACTGCTATCTTTTCTATACAATATTGCTCATTTAGCACCAGCAGGTCGAATAGTGATAGTAAGGTTTGGAGGGTGTGCTATACCGGCTTTCCCTGCCTCATCTGCTCAGTACCCTTCAGCTTGACATATCTGGGTAACCAGGCAACTGCTATTGTATTTCGAAGGTGCACTAGCTCAGTGTATCTTTTAAATAAAAGCACATGAGAGAATTCATCAACATCCGACCTTTAGAGCCCCAAAGCCCTCAGGGAGTTGGAGCATATGAGGTAGGATGAATCACCTCCAGAATGTGTGACTCCAAGGATGTTTACATTGCATTGAGTTGGGTCCATGAAGTATACAGCGCAGGCCAAACCTTTTCCAGGCCTAGACCTATCCGTGAACACAAGGCAAAAACTGACATACTTGATTTAAGTTTGAGGAACTCAGTGAAGTAGAGATATGGTGGCCAGGCTTGCAAGCCCATGGTGAAGCAGCTCGATTTGCAGTTCAATTACTGTTCATAGTGTCTTTCCAGTTCACCCAAGAGTCGCTGAAGTGTCTGAGAATAAAGTAAGTTGTAGTTTTCCCTGTATGGTTATTCGAGGACTATGACATCTCCTGGTCATACAGTATGATTATCATCAATAAGAATATGCATGAAATCCTATAAACATTTGTAATTATCCAGTTTGGCAATTTAAAATAGTGCATGTTGTAGAACTGCAGATTATGATATTACCGCAAAAGATTACACTTTTTTTTCCTCTTTATAAGTGTTAATGTTATAAATTTACACAACGGAATTGACCTCTACAGGAGGCCGGAAAACATTGAATATACTTGCCTTTAATCAATTTTGCAAGGAAACAAATAATGTTAATTTCCTGTTTTGTTTTTGGATGGATGTCTCGTTCATGTGGTTTGAAAATAAACAAATAACACTAGTTTGTAAAACTGTATCTTCAATAAATTTTTCTTTAATAAAAGCATCAAGGCACACTATTGTACTTAGATCCTTTATATATATATATATTTTATGCAGGGTGGGGGACCAAGACCTGAGGGGTTAAATGCCTGGGTAGACTCGTACCCCAAAAAGGTCTGGGACTTGGGCGGCTCACGTGTCCTGCATAAACCTCTTGGTCTTGTTCACAAACCCCAAGATTTTGGACCATTTTATCTCGGGGAGTGATTTGATGATGTCCTCTCCTTCAAAGATTTCAAATCTAGACCTAGCATACCTATCACATTCTGCGAAGCAATGCTTTGCCGTTTCTTCTTTTATTTCGCAGAAGCGGCAAAAGCGATCTGGTAGGATACCCATTACGAAGAGGTGTCTTCTCAGTGGGCAGTGGCCCGTCAGGATACCTATCAGCCTCCTAATTCCCTTCCTTGAGATAGAGAATAGCCATTTCGATTCAGCTGGTTTGATCGCTTTAACAAGGTCTTTCGATTGCCTGTGTCCGGGGGATAAATTCCACTCCCTAAAGAATTGTTTCATGCCCCAGTTATTGATACTCTCTTTCGCTGTGCTCATAGAGTGAGGTAATACCGGCTGTGGCCCAACAAACGCAGTATTAGAACCTTCTTTGGCTATGCCATCCGCCTTTTCATTGCCCTGGTGTCCTTTATGTGCAGGTATACCTCACATGCAGGTATAACAAGGGTTACCTTGTTCCCAAACCTGAAAGAGATCCTATTGATAAGATCTGTAGTTTCCTCCACCAGTCATGAGGTTGACAAATCTTTTTGTAATGCCCTAAGACTAGCCTGACTGTCAGAAGAGATTTTAATATCTTTTCCCATAATTTTATTTTCCATCAGTGTTCTACAACACACATTGATGGCCCAGATTTCCGCCTGAAAAACGGAGGTGTTATTGCCAAGAGGGGAGGAGATGCTGATTCCTAATATAGGTATGTAGATTCCTGCACCACTCCCTTTACCTTTGACACTCTGCGAGGTAGTGCCTTGCCATTTCTTCTTTTATTTCGCAAAAACGGCAAAAGGGATCTGGTAGGATCAGAATATCTATCAGCCTCCTAATTCCCTTCCTTGAGATAGAGAATAGCCATTTCGATTCTGCTGGTTTGATCGCCTTAACAAACTCTTTCGATTGCCTGTGTCCAGGGGATAAATTCCACTCCCTAAGGAATTGTTTCATGCCCCAGTTATTAATACTCTATTTCGCTGTGCCAAGAACCTTACTGATCATCTTGATCTGCCTACTACCCCGTTGGGTTGGTGTTTGTTTTGTGACATGTTTCAGTATTTTTACCATCTTCAGTGTATATCTTAGTAGTACAGTGTGTTTAATTTTAAGTCGCAACATCACATAATACTTGTTTCTCTCTCTCTCTCTCTCTCTCTCTCTCTCTCTCTCTCGGTCTTAATCAGTTTCATTTTAGTAATCCTAATGGTTTTGAAAAGCACAGGGACCATTTTATGATCAGCTGGGCTATTGGTTAGTGCAGAAGGAAATTTGTTTGAACACCTCATTTAAATTAATGAATCTTGTGGGTACCAGATTGTTTTACTCTCACTTAAGTAACAGTTCAAGGGACTTAAAAGTAGTTTACCTCTCAGTTTAAAGCCATAAATTAACATTTTCGTTTTAATTTTCATTATATGTACTTTATATTAGTATTGAATTCACCATTAGCCTATTCATTACAAAAAATGATAAAATAATAATATAACAGGTCCCTTTTTTTTTTTTTACGTTGCGTTGCAAAATAAAAGTACATACGTGCATGGCCGTACCAATAATCAACGCAACAGGTTTATTTTGCTGTTGCGATGAAAAAAGAAACATATGGTATATAGCTTTATGTATAGATAGCATATATCTCCCATCATATACATTTGTTATTTTTGAAAAAAAAAAAAAAAGATCAAAATGATATCTAGGAATATAAACAAAAACAAATGATAGTACAATGAAAATTTATTATACAACTGCAAATCAATAAGTAGGCCTACACTGACTGACACACAAATCTTTACATTAAATTGCAGGTTTTTTCTCGTTAAGATTGTAATCATTGCACAGATTGTTATAACGTCTTTCTATAAGAAAGCGATTAACAAATACATAGTGGGATTTTTGTGAGCACTTGCAGTTTTTTTAAATAACTTTTTTTTTAGTAAGATAATACCTATATAAAACATTACATTAATTACATCAAATAATATGGAAAATATTTCCATTTCAAGGTAAGGAGAAGAATGATATGGAAGATAGGACGGGGGATGTATTGCTAGTGTTTTTTTTTAATCTTTATAATTTTTTAACCTGAATATAAAAATACTGATGTTTTACCTCAGTTGAGGAGATTTTGCATGAGCTTGCAAATTATACTATACATGACCAATTCACATACTCAATAATGGCACAATATTATTATTAATTATCTTTCATCCTGCTCAACTAAATGGAAACATACTCGTTCTCTAGTTTTAAGTCAAAGCTAACATTCACGGCGAAACATACAGTTTACTCTTTTTTTTTTTTTAAATTATCAAATAAATTTTATTTTTGCTGTGAAGTGCCACAAAATTTAATAATCATACCACTAATAAAATTGGTTCTAAATGGATTCGGAAAGAAGTTGAGCAAGAGTTTTTATTTCTATAAAAGAATAGTTTATATATTCTTTTAAGAACATTGTGCAAACTACTTATTAAAAAAAGATAATAAATCAAAAAAGAAATGAACAAAATTATAGGGGAAATAAGGCAAAAAGGACAGTAACTAGGCCTGACATTGATTTCCTTAAAAAAATACATTGAAAAATCTACAACTTTGATTATGACAGTTTTTCCCTTCAAACAATAATTATATCTATAAGACTATGCAATTGGAAGGTGTATAAATTGAAATCTGCTAATTTTTTAGTTTTTTTTCAATATTTTTTATAAAGATGTACACAGAGAATAGCAAATTACATTTATACACTATAAACAATTTCTTTATATATAACTTTTTAACTAATTCTTTTTTTTATATTATCAAATAATGAAGTAACAGTAAAAATCACAGTTCTCACATTAAGGAAGTTTGAGGCAGGATTCTTAAGCTAACAATAAAAAAATGCCAGCATTATTATCCATAAATTTATCCTGACTCCTTAGATATATATACATTGACTTATAACAAACTATTTACAGTAATTACATTTACAAAGCTATTAATCAAAAATAAATACAGAGTCATAATAATAAAATAAAAAAAGTAAAGAGAAGAAATAAGATAACTGTACATTGTTTTTTATCATTTCCAGTAAAATAACTGGTAATAACATTTTTTGGAATATAGAATTTCAAATGGACCTCCAAGCTAAAAATCATTTGATATGTCAATAAGTCTAGAACATGATTTTTTTGATACGAAGTACTATGTGGTTGGATTAATTTTAACATCTTTGGCTTGATCTAAGAGATCTTTCATGTTTTTTTTTTGTTTTTTAATAATTATTCCACTTTTACAAAAATACACCTGTCATAGTATTAAAAAAGAAACTAAGTACAATGTATTAGAAAGTCATATTGTGCTTCTTCAAAATTCAAAGCTCATTAGTCAAAAATTTTAAAAGTAAATTGTAGAAATATTTTTCCAAACAAAACTACAATGAACTTTTCATGGTAATTTCATCACAATTTACACTATATTTATATAAATGGAATCTAAATTAAATGAAAACATTGAAATATTAATCTACACAAAACAAGTGTAACACAAGTTTGCACATATCAAAAAATTGAAACAATAAGAATTTTTTCTAAAGAAATCAATTACAAAAACCGTTTAATGCGATATCAGTCTCATTTTATTTGATAAAACTTAAACACCTCATTTTCGAAATTACGAACTTCGGCGTGTATTGTTTATATTTGTTATTGTTTCTTAAATGAGTTCACTGTTCCAAATTAAGGCAAATCACTGAGCACTAAGTACACCAGTTAACTTTGTAACTTGAACACTTTGGGCGATATTTATACATGGGTAGCTAGTGATCCTCTTTTGACAACAGCCTGTTGGCTGGTTATGTAATGGGATGTATTTGAAGGCCGGTGAGGGATGGACCCATTTCTTGCTGAATACGGGGGCGGTGCAGGGGCTAAAGGGGGAGGAGGAGGAAGTGTAGGAGTCCCTGTCGTCCTCAGGTAGGGATTACCGTACACGGCCGAATACCTTGGATCCACCCCTGGGCTGGTAGAGGTTGCCATCGTCGTAGGGGCTGGAGGGGTATAATCTCTAGTGTAGTCCACATAAGGAACGTAACCGTTGTTGTTCTGCCCATCCTGTAAACGTCTCAGCATCAGTTTCCTGCATTTTATTGCCATGCTCTTCCTTGAAGCACACACTTTTCTCCACCGTGCACCACGCAAAAAACCCAAAACCATGCTCCTTTATTTATCTTGTTAGCTTTTTTTTTGTTTTTTATTAGTAGCAAGTCAAAAGACAAATGTTTGCAGATAAGTTTGTTTAGGGTTGAAGTACAGCTAGTGTTAACTGGGTGCTTAGTGCTGAGGATGTGCAAGAAGTGGGATTGTCAAAAGAGGTTGGTTAAGCTTTTAGTGTATTATTATCTTTGTACATAATGAACTTTGTACAGGTTACTTTTAAGAAGGAAGCGTATTAATAAACATCGAGTAAGACATTTTAGATTTGTTTTGTTAAGAGGTCCAGAATCATGCTTTACTAAAACCAAAAGAGACTAGGCAAGCTGAAGAAGCACACACATGCATTATCTTAAATAATTAAACAATGAACACTCTTTTATACCAAACACAGAGGGGAGACCTTAACTCTTTTAATAAATAATTTTCTGCGATTGCTCCCACAAGTGATGAGCCTATTTGTTTTTATATTTTTACTAATTTTCATAAAATAATATCAAGTTGGGTTGAGTTGAATATATTTTATTTTCATTTGCCGTAAGTCTGAGAAAAATTTTTTGAACATGAAATTTTAAGGTGCAATTAAAGTAATAAAATCTTCAATGAACGTTAAATTGAAATAGTTCACTGTTTGAAAAGACAAAACAATGCCATTTAAAAAAGATTGGACTTGATAAAAAAAAATCAATATTTGAAAAATAAAATGAAGCACTTGACTACATTATAAAATTCAACTATCCCAATCATCTTATTCAGTTCAAATGAATTATTTTAATTACAAAATCTCTTAATTATGAACAATCAATTAATGATGATAATTGTTTAATTCTATCAATTTAATAGCAGAAAAGGAATGTTAAATTTATATTATTAAAATTTAAGGTAGTTGTAATAAGGCAAAAGTTATTGTACAATTTTGTTAGAATGTTGAAATTTCTAATTATTCTGTACAAGAGAACAAAACCTACAACTTTAATATTGTAATTAAAATAATACTTATTTAAAAAAACTGATATGAAATTTCATAGTTAGGCTTTAAGGTTTCCCATGGTTGAATTTTTGACAAAATTTTTCTTGTCATCCAAATCCATCTTACAAAAATAAATCGTTTTCTATGTACAATAAAGCAACATTTTTACTAAACTAAATATGCCTGGTAACTCACATTTTTTGGAGGGAACACTGGATCCGGGTAGTCTCCGCTTGAAAATCTATTATTCGAATACCTATGGTCGATAGGTACTGGTCCAGCCAGCGGTACGCCGATGCGTGTTACGACACTTTCGCTGCCGGTCTCGGAGCCCCCTCCACCCGGATAGTCCAGCTCGCAGTGAACGTTGCTCACTGAAGAGCCAGTTCTCAATTCTAACTTGATGTCCGATATATTCGAAGATCTGTCGGATTCTTTACATTGTTTTTCCACATCTGTTTGTTCATTTGTGGTGAACGCTGCTTGAGAAAAACACGAAAAATTAAGATTTTGCTTAAAATATATATGTATTAAATTTTATTTTATGAGTAGCTTACTTGGAGGTTTCTTGACTTTTCTCTGACAAAGGATTATTACCATTGTTATTGCAATTATTATCACAATTCCTCCCAAAACACCAGTTAATATGAGCAATAATGGGAAGCTCTCTGTAAATTAATGAAGTTAATTAAAACACACCACTCACAGATTAATTCTTTTATGATTAAAAAAATAAATAAACACTTACTTTGAGGTTTAAGGGTTATTTCTAGGGTATCATGACCATAAGCATTAACAACTGTACAATTGTAGATGCCAAAATGGTCCTGGCGTGATTCTCTGATAATTAATGTACTTTTAACACCTTCGCTGAGTGGATCCTCAAGAACCTAGAAATATTAAATTAATAGTTTAAAAAAGCAGAATATTTATACAGTAACTACTGATCTATTTTATTTATTTTTTTCATAGACACTTACAGAATATTCATGAGAATTATCAGCGGTGATGTCTTCACCCTTAAAGCTCCACAATACTTTGGTCTGTGGAGGTACAGAGTATGCTGTACAATCGACCCTGGCATTGTCCCCAGGAACTCCGAATTGAGACCGATGAGATATGATCTGCGGTGGCCCTTTTACGTAAACAACGGCTTCCGCTCCAATTTCAGGAAAACCGATAACCGTGGCTTTGCAGTAATATCTTCCTGCTGTTTCTGAATTGACGTTAAGGCTCAAATTGGCTGATGTTCCTGCAACCTGTAGACATATGTTTTAGTATAATATATTTGCATCCGTAAAATAAATAAATAAAAATGGATTTATGTAGTTACCCTATTTGTCGATTCGTGATGCCAAACAATATCAGGTTGAGGATTTCCATCCACATCGCATGTCAGTGTAATGGTTGACCCTTGATCTGCTTGTATACTATGAGGCTTCTTTCTAAACCTTGGTCCATCTAAATCAAAGAAGAAAAAAAACTAAATCATCTGAAAATCCTATAAAATAATAATTAAATTGACATACAGCTAATATCTAATGTTTCCGATTCTTCACTTTTTCCTACTGCGTTCTGCACTTCACATTTAACTATGGAATCGTGCTGTCTTCTTGTCACATTAACAAGATGCAGTTCGGTCGTTGCGTCTGTTTCGACGAGTCGATCATTTATGTACCACCTGTACGTAACATCTGGAGGATTGGCGTCTGCTGAACATTTGAGTCTCACATCTACACCTTCAGTCAGTCTTGTTGCTCCTCCTATTACACTCACAGTCACCTTCGGTGCGTATTTTACTTCCAGCCTTAATTTAGCATTTCTATACGTCCTTTCGGCTTGATTTTGTGCCTGACATACAAAAGTTGTATTGTGATGTTCCTTTTTCGGCGTGAGTTTCAAAATGGACCTTGCATTGTATCTTCTACCATCAGGCATTTCATCTACAATGTACTCTATTCCTTCTTTTATCACATTGCCAAGGCCATCAATCCATGTAATCTAGAGAAAAACATTAAAGATTTGATAAATCCGAAAATTTAACAAAAAATTTCTAAAAGGTTTTAATTATTTACCTCTGCTGGTGGTTTTCCAGCTAGAGAAACACATTCCAGCTCTATTTCTCTGTCCTCAGTCGTGAGTAATTTTTCCCCTTGAACTATTTTAGGTGGTTCTGGAGGTGTGTAGACTGTGAGATGAGCAAATCGAGATCGTATTCCTTCTTCTCCATTTTGCCCAGGCCCCACCTGGCATTGATATTGAGCATCATCATCCAGAATCACTGGATATATTTCTAATGAGAAGTCACCTTAAACAAAATCACAAAATAAGTTTTCACTTTTAAGGTTTTAAAATGTGGCCACCCTTGATAGCAAGAAATATGAAAGTTTAATGCTTTATAATTTATCTGAAAAATCAATTTAATTTACCTTCATCGTCACTTCCTATCATATTGTATCTATCATAGCCTTGCAGCGACCTGTGCTCTCCAAGACCGAAGTCATCTTTCGTCCACTGAATCCTGCCAACCTTCCCTAAAACCCTACAGGGTAGAGTTACTCTGCTTCCAACGGTGGCTGTCTGATCTTGCGGTTCGATTGCGAATTTCTGCTCACAGAGTATGCAGTGGATGAGGAATAAGAACGGCAGCAACTGTTTCATCTCTGCAATAGCATAGGTAATCACTGGGTTAGTACAAGTTGTGAAATTGCAAAATTATCTATAAGTTTCACCAGTTTATACAAAATTTATAAAAATCGTTATTCTACAGTTTTAAATCATTTTTCACATTATCGGTAATGGTAAAATTCAATTTGATATTACACCTGGCCCAATAGAAATTTCCAGTACGGTTAGGCCGTCTAGCCGAAGGGGGGCCAACACAGTGACTGCCAGCATTTGAAATATTTTTGGACCCCATCCAGACTGATCTCTCAGCTGTTTACTGACTCACAGACAGACCATTAAAGCACCTACTTAGTTGAGTCATTTCTCGAAGATAATAATAAAATTGGATCAATAGAATTAAAAATATAAATAAGTTGTCTGAAATGTATAGACATTTCAATTGTTGCCTGGTAGGACTATAGATGAAAGTGTATTGAACTGACAGTCAGTATAGTTCATTGACTTGCATGCTTAATATAATTTCAACCCCAATTATTCTCACAATAAAAACAAATTAAAACATTCCGTTGTTATGTATCTAATTTCATATTGAAATTGAGATAAATAGAATGAAAATGACACGTCGTTTCTTCCTTATTAATATGATGTTTTGAAAGATAAAGCAATGGTGGAAATTCCGAATTAATTTTGATTTTATATAAAATAATTTATTTTTAAAACAGGGAATACGTACAATGTTATTAATAATTACAATTAATTAAGATTTTTTGTTGAGATAAAAAGGCAATGGCACGAGCGGGATTCGAACCCACGATCTTCGGCTTGATACGCCGCTGCTCTACCACTTGAGCTATCGTGACCTCGATCCACTCGTACACCAACTTCCCATCTCAACCGCACCTTTTGAATATTCCCTCCTTTTTGCCATTTTTCAAATGTCGTGTAATCAGATTGGATTCTCGACGACAAATGAAATGGCCACGGAGAGTTTTAGTGAAGATATACTTCGTTTTACTTATTAAATTCATTAGATTTCGTGGTCCAATTGACCAATGAAATAAGTTAAATGAAGTATATCTTCACTAAAACTCTCCGTGGCCATTTCATTTGTCGTCGAGAATCCAATCCGATTACACATTTGAAAAATGGCAAAAAGGAGGGAATATTCAAAAGGTGCGGTTGAGATGGGAAGTTGGTGTCCGAATGGATCGAGGTCACTATAGCTCAAGTAGTAGAGCAGCGGCGTATCAAGCCGAAGATCATGGGTTCGAATCCCGCTCGTGCCATTGACTTTTTTATCTCAACTAAAAACCTTAATTGGTCAAGCGGACCACGAAATTAGTGAAGTTATTAATAATATGAAAACTAATGAATAACAACAGATATTAATAATTAATCAAAACCATAAATAAATCGAGAAGATTTGTTGGCCTGTCGGCGAGTTGTTATTTTTGCCGTTTGTACGAATTTTCATCATCTTTAATGGTTGTGCAAGTGCCTCGTTAAGCTCTATAAACAGTGAAGAAATAGCGTAAGCGTATCAACCCCTAAAGCCCGGACCGGCAGGAATATTAAAACTTGTTGGATGATGCCCAGACTTCGTCGTCTAGCTACAATGACCCCCATTGATATAAGATTTCATATATCAATGGCTATGAAATGGCCAAGAAACCACGAGAGCAGACTTTTTTTGGCATTAAAGACAGCAAGCTAATTAAGGGGTGACTTTTTCGTTGTTTCCAAATTTTGTGTGATGTGGACTAAGTTTGACAAGTTTGGAGACGGTTTATATAAAGTTTATGATGGAAAGTGATCAGGTAGAGGGCAGAATGAATAATGTTATCTGAACGATTTGGTGAGCCATGGAATGCTTTTTCCTCGTTGTTACGAAATATTTCAAAGTCCCGGAATAGGCGTGGTTACAATTCTGCTGTATTTACGTTATTGCGCATTCTGACAAATAGAGAGCCTCCCCTGAAATTCCCCTCAGTTCTACTAAATCCCAATTGTTCCCCGAGTAATCTACGAAGCACGTCACGAAGCGAAGATTTACTTTTCTCCGCCGCGAATAAATCATGCCGCGAGACCCTCTGCACGCACTCCCAGGCAAAACTAAATGGAAAACAGAAGCTTTTTAATGGGATTAAGTTAAATTCATAGAGTGGTTAGTTGTCCATTTGGAGACCTCACCGAGCTGCAAGTTCATTCGGCAATTTGTCACGAGGTCATGCCAAGATGGTTCCACTTAATACGAAGAGAACCCCCATTACCCCATTCGCCCTCGCCCCGACCCACGACTTTCCACAATAAACATCAAATGCAAACAACTTGATTCATTAAAGCAAAACTTTCTAATGGACTTTGTCCAAAATCGGCACGGGATCGTCTTTTGGAGATCCGGTTTGCACAGGAATTGTTGGCAATTTACCGTCGGGCGGACAACTTTAATAACCGCCCCTACCTCCAGGAGGATACACTTGTTGTTAATGTTCTATTAAATTTTCCAGTGTCCTCACATTAGCCTTTAACGGCCGGTTATCGGGTCGTACGTTATCGTTCATTCCGGCCCTCCTTTTTCCGTAATAGATACACAATATACTACATAGCAATAAATAATATATACAATTCAATTATATCCTTTCTTAACAAAGCGCGGAAATATTTCGAACAATCTCAAGTGAAACAAAACGACCTTTTTAAAATAATTATTTCAGCAAAAAAAAATTTGCTGAGATATAAATTAAGAGCGCGCGTACAGGTTTTTCAGATGGCTTATCATTTTGTCAGAAAAGGTAATTTGGGACATTCTTGCAAAGATTTTGAGCATTGGAGATGAACAGGATGAATAAAATTTTATGTAGGGCTCTGTTAGGGACATGAGATCAGGCATGTGTTTTTTATGGCTTTAGCTCGAAGGATTGTATGCTAAATCACAATTTTTATTATTTGCTGATGATCTGAAAATCTATTCCATAATCACTTCTCCTTCCGATTGCTTACAATTACAAAATTCTATCAATAACGTGCTAACCTGGTGCTCCAATAACAAACTTGCTCTTAATGTTTCCAAATGCTACACAATTACATTCTCTCATAAGAAACAACCTTTTATTTATCTCTATACTCTCCACGATGCTCTTTTAACGCGAGTTGAGGTTGTAAAGGATCTTGGTGTACTTTTTGATCAAAAGCTCAAGTTTAAAGAACATATTTCTTCAATAAAAAATAGATCTATGAAGATGCTAGGTTTCATCATCCGGAACACCTATGAATTTAAAAATCCTCTATGTTTTGTCCATCTTTATAAAGCTTTTGTACAACCCATACTAGAATATGCTACACCTGTTTGGAACCCATTCTATCTAAATTATCAAAAAATTCTTCAATCTGTACAAAACAAATTTTTAAAAAAACTTTCCTACAAACTCAATCTTCCTCCGAATTCTGCCTACCCTGGAATCCGCTCTGAATTTAAACTTTTCGAACTGGCACTAAGAAGGGATTACTTTGATATTGTTTTTGTATTTAAATTATTAAACAATCTCATTGATAGTCCTTATCTCCTCTCTCAACTACAGCTACATGTCCCTTCGTACTCTCTTAAAACCTATAAATTATTTTATATTGAATTCCAAAGCTCTAACTACATGCTCTCTTCTCCTCTACACAGAATGATGATCAAGAGTAACAACATCTGCAATAGCATTGACTTCTTCAATAGTTCTGTGCAATCTGTGAAAAACCTTATCCTACAACCTTAGTTGAATGCTTTTATATTTCATACTGTACAAAATTATTACAATTTATTTCATTTACTGGTTCAACTAATTCTCGCACTCTAGTCTTATTATATATTTACAAAGAGCATTATTTTCATTAAATATGTACCTAATTATTGTAGTTTCAATTGTCTTTCAGCTTTATTTTGTTTCCTCTGCCTTATTTGGTTAGTAATTATGTCTTTCATTTTTGTTGTTCAGTTTTTACTCTTTAATTGTATTTTTATATTTATCATTTATATTTACCATTTATATTATTACCATGTATATACGTCCTTATTCTTTTTATATATATTATTTGTATTTTTACATATATTATTTATATTTGTTGTTATTGTAAAATGTATTTTTTATAATGGATTTCGATCCGTGAATAAATAAAGTTTGGAGGCCAAACCCCCGATAATATTTTTCTGCTGATAAATTTCAAGCGATTAGTGAACTATCCAATTAATGAAGCTTTTTTTAATGATGATTTATAATTATTTAACCTCCTCGAGGGTCTTGAAGAGGCTAGCAGTGGATTAAATAGTCAATTTAACGTAGAATTTTAAAAAGACATCAACTTTGATGAAAAGTGCATAGACAGCGAAGATAATCTGTTTTCTTCTGTGACAAAAATCGTCTGTACAACTATATTTTAGGCAGAGCACGCCGTGAAACGTAATCAATCAGTCGGATCCCACAGTGTTCGAATTAAAAGAAAACACCGGGGGTGGAAAAAGGGAATTAACGATAATTAGCGAAGGAATTCGCATAACTCACTGGCGCTATGTCGTGATCACGCGCAGTTTCATTGCGATTTTCCAATTGAACTTTATCGAGCAGTTTCACCCTTTAAACGAAAGGTCATGCAGCAGGCATATCAGCCCTTGGGCTCCTATTAAGTTGCTCCTCTTTTAATTAATTATTTCGGTGTCGTTTGTAAAACGGCTTACTGTCAACGGTTAAAGGTTAATAACGATTGTTAATTCGATAACACCCCCCCTTTTTCGTTTAGACAAGGGCTCGACAAAAGAGCACGTTTAAAATTATAATTGCTGAAAAAGTATGCAAAACTTTTAATCTTTCTCATTTCAGTGCAAATAGAAAATAAACAAAGGAAACTCAATATAATAAACAAACGTTTGGGTTAAATCGCATATACACAAAACCAAATTTTATAAATTGTTCATTAACTTTTGATTCACTGCCTTTCTGAGATAAAAAAAAGGCAATTCGACACTGGTAAAATGTTATAAAAGGCAAACCTAAGC